GTTATCTCATTTTTCTGCTTAAAACTGCATTAAACTTGTAAAACAAAAAAATTATGTGTTTTAATGTTTTTAAATGCCGTCATCTGTATTAAGAAGCTTAAATGCTGAGAATAGAATTTTAATCGCTCACGCAATAATAATGCATGTTATTCATTTTGTGATATAATTTCATTAAATTTAAACATTGATTTGGCGAAAAAGATTAATTTTATCGACATTATTTTATTATAAATTTCCCACTAAATTTGAATGCTTTGAATTTTACAACTAAATGTTATTATTTCAATTATTTCTTAATTGGGTTAATCTTTTGTAAATTTATTCCAGTCTGTCTAAAATCGTTCTTTAGGAAAAAAATGACCAAGTAAAGCCTAGGATTAATAACTTTGTTCTTTTTTTCTTACATACATTTAAAAATGCAACGGCTAATTGAAATTTTTAATTTCTAACGGTTGGAACTAACCGTTAACGAAACGACAAAAAAAAGTTGGAACGTGCCCAGCCCGAGTACTTTCAGTTTGCAGAGGAGAGTAAACTTTTAACTATTGTTAGATTTTACACTATTCTTTAAATCTTTAGATTGAATTTTATAATTAACTTAAAGGGGATTTGGACGTAATTTCAAGAGACCATCCGGTCATTTTAAATTGGGATGTTTGATTCACAACAATATCCTTAAAATATATTATTTGATTATTTTCAATCTTGGTTTCTCTTTAAAGTGATTTTTGCATTTCTTCCACAGAAAAACAATGGAGGATCTTGCAAGCACTCAGCTAGTAAGTTAACATAGTAATAAAAAATGTTATAACGTACCGTTTTGAATCATACATTCCCCGCTTGAAATGAAGGGTTACTGTAAGTTGAAAGAAGTATAATAAGATGTCAGCCTTAAGTTGCATATTTATAAAAATCATTCTCATGCGGCCTTCACCCCCCCCCCCTTAATGTACCTTTAATATGTTATGTATCAAGTATCTATAGAGAGACTGACAGTAGTTAGGAACTATTTGAAAAGAGACCAAAGTTTGGTTTATAACATCTATACTTCATTTTGTCTAAAAATTAAACATATCGTTGTACTCTTTTGAGACAGTAGTCTAAATTTGATTCATTGAATTTTTCAGGAGGAAAAGAAAAGGGAGGGGCGTGTACATGTACAAAATGGGTTTGAAAATGAGGGATATTTTTTCTCTTGATGTCAACCTTATTTTAGCTTAATAATAAACATGATTAGAGATTTTCCTGCNTAATAATAAATATGGTTAGAGATTTTTCTGCACCCCCCCCCTCTCCTTGGCTTCAACAGATGCCACAATAGTATGTGATGTGAAGGGATTAAGTTTATCTTTGTCAATTATAAGTTTGATTGAATTCCGTCTAGTTTTCCACTTCTCTGCAGCTCTACTCTAAACTATAAACTTTTTATTATCTTCTTTACAATACATCTATAAAGTAAAAAGAAACAACTGTTTTTAGTGAATTGTGTCGTCCAAGAAGCTGCTTTTAAAAGTAAATATCCAAGAAAATATGTATTATGTAATACTAGGCTTTCCTATTAACAATTTTAGCAAAGGAATTGAGTCTTTGCCACAAACTCTGATTTTCTTCTTCTATATCTTTGCCATTCAATGTCGTAGACCTTTGTTATTTCAAACTATTAATTCTGCTAGAGCTTATAATCTAAGTTTGCAATATTTAAGATTTAAACCATTAGGTTCGATAGATATAGGGATTGGGAAATTTGAGTTTGTTGCAAAGACTCCATTCCTTTGAAATTTGGAAGGCACAATTTTAAAAATTAAATTTGCTAGGACTTTCCCATTTAAATTTTCAAAATAAATCTATTTTAAAATTTCGAGGTTTAGAGGATGAATACGAATAAGTTTAGTGCAGATATAGACAACTCTGACCAAGTAAGACGACTTTAAAAAGATTAGCAAGACTAAATATGCTTTGTAAGTTGTATTGGGCTCAGCTACATTTTGCCTTGTCACAATTTGCTTTGTCACATTTTGCCTAGTTCAGTTTGGCCTAGCTAACATTTTTCCTTGGTAACTTTTTGCCTAGTTCAAGATTTTTCTGAAATTAAACATTTTTTTTAAAAAGATGAACCAGTTAAATTTAAATGAATTAAATTTTATAGAATAATCGAATTGTATCTTGTCTAGCACTTTTAACATTCCCAATACCATGACTCGAAACCTATAAAATGATGGAGTTTTGATTCTCCTCTACGGCAGAATTAGCGTGTACTCTACAAAAGATAAAACATGGTTATGTATCAGATATATATATTTAAAAATACAGTTTTAATCAAGGAGCAAGGGTTTGAATATAATCATCTTTTGGCATGGTATGGTAGGAAACTGAATGGTTTTCATAAAGTTGCAGAGTTATTGATGACTAATTCGCGGATTTTTGAAAATTTTCTTTGTGGAAAAATGTTTTAATAACAAAGTGCCCTTATGTTACCCTAGGCAAGCCGTTATCTAGGCAAAATGTTACTTAGGAAAACTGTTACCTATGTAAAATGTAACTAGGCAATATGTACAAAGCAAAATGTTAGTAGGCAAAATGTTACTAGGCAAAATGTGACTAGGCAAAATGTTACTAGGCAAAATGTTACTAGGCAAAATGTTACAAAGCAAAATTTTAGTAGGCAAAATGTTACTAGGCAAAATGTGACTAGGCAAAATGTTACTAGGCAAAATGTTACTAGGCAAAATGTTACAAAGCAAAATGTTAGTAGGCAAAATGTTACTAGGCAAAATGTGACTAGGTAAAATGTTACTAGGCAAAATGTGACTTATCAAAACCATACTATGCTAAATGTAACTGAGCCTTGTATTGTAACGACATAAAATACAATTAATTATTGATTTAAGGTCGTCTTCCTGTTGCTTTCGGTAATTTCGGATTCCTCTTACTCTAGTATGCCGAGTCCATTAGCGCCTGATCCAATCAGGGTTCTGCCATGTGTTTGGTGTCTATTCTGAACCAATAGAAATTGCATAGCGGTAACATCTATCTTTCTATTTAGCGCATTATCCAATTAGAGATTAATCCTTATATCGGCGCTGTAACAGTAAATGGAAATATATTTACTTTTACTGAAACTATAGTGCTCTCTGATTTTGATTTAAGATAAATTGATGTGATATAGATAAGATATCTGAAATGTTTGCCATTTAGGATGTAATGCTATTTATTTATTTCACTTCTTATAAAAACTTATTCTCACTTCAATTTCAATTCATATGAACAAAATAAAAACTATTACTTGATGATTTCTCTACCGTTTTAAACTTATATGTACGATCATTAGGTCGCGACAATTCTTTTTTGAAAGTTAAACCAGCTGAGAATTATTACGCATGCATTTTTGGTTCAATTTTTGTTTTTTTAAAACTCGATTCTAAGGGGTCTCAATTTTTTATTTAAATAAAATAAAAATCTATATTTGACGTGTTATTGGAATAGTTTAAAGTTTTCTCTCTAATTTGTAATTTCAAGTTCTCCAGACAAGTTTATGAAGACAAGGCCAACTTTATGGTTTTTAATTTAATCCCATTAGGATAGAATTCAACACGAGGGAGAAAAAAGGAGAATATTGGATTTTTTGTCGAAATTATTGATTGGTTTATAATTATTACACGCACAGGCCTTTTTCTTTGTTTGGACAATTTTTTTAAAAATATTAAACTGCAAAAAACTGAGTTTTTGGGAGAAAAAAACTCTGATTTTCTAGAATCCATATATCTTTGCAACTCACTGTCGTACACCTTTGATATTTCAAACAATCAATTCTGTTGGATCAAATAATAAGTTTAAAATATCAAAGATTAACACCATCATATTGCAAAGATATAGGGATTAAACAAAATTGAGTTTGAGACAAAAACAGTTACATGGAAGGATGTAAAGGAGTATGACAGGGTTAGGATACTCTGGTAGAACAGTGATCTGTTTATTCTTCAAAATTACTGCAGACCTTAATTCTAGATGCATACTAATGGAGACAAAATTCATCTCAGATCTCCCTAAAATCAAGAGCTCTAGCTTGCCTCATTCTAGAGTGGGAGCGTACTTTAAACTCTCTGGATTCTTATTTTCTGTCGTGTCACAGATCACTCCTAAAATTAACTATTTATTTTATATTTTTACAACCCTTATATATTTTGGAATATAGAAGAACTATCGAGCTAAATCAACTCAAAGAAGTTCGTAGTAATATTTCTATTTCACTGGAGACTACCGGAGGGATTTAGTTTTCACTGGAGGAGTTTAATGCAGGGTGATTTACATTCCACTGGAGGGATTTAAATATCCATCCAGAGGGGGTTTATAATTCCACGGGAGGGATTCAGATATATGTATATCGATGGGGTTTAAAACTTTACTGGAGGGATTCAGATATCCTTTCTAAGGGTTTAAAAGTCTTCTGGAGGGATTCAGATATCCTTCCTGGGGGTGTTAAAATTCTTCTAGAGGGATTCAGATATCCTTCCTGGGGTATTAAAATTCTTCTGGAGGGATTCAGATATCCTTCCTGGGGTGTTAAAATTCTTCTGGAGGGATTCAGATATCCTTCCTGGGGTGTTAAAATTCCACGTTGGGCTGATTCAGATATCCTTCCTGGGGTGTTAAAATTCCACTGGGGTGATTCAGATATTCAGTGTTAGCTGAGCCGTGTAAAGAGCATGTCAAGATCTTTAAAAGAATTGCAAAACCTAAGAAATTAAATATTTTTAAGGTTTTGTCCTAATCCCTTTTGACCAGAAAATACAGGGATTGTATATTTACTGGCCAATCTGAGGATTTGAATTTCGAAGTTGGTATAGTGCGACCCCCCCCTTCCCTTTATAATGGAAGATCTGATGGTATAGTGCGACCCCCCCCCTTTATAATGGAAGATCTGAGATTAAAAAATGTTTAATGTGATAAAGAATATCAATTTAATATTATTAAATCAATCGTTTTATTATATAAACGCGAGTATCAAGTTTCAAGTTATGGATTAGAATACTGAAAGTATAGTTATACTACTCGTGATATGTTTATCATTTATTTCATAAAGGGAGTGTAAGATCATTTTAAACTGACTCAATTCTAATATTTTTAATTAAACATTGACTTATAAGAGACTTGAGCAGCACATTAGTAAAACAAATTTTACATTACATACAATATTTTTGTTTGGAAATTGTAGTTCTGCACTTTTTCAACCCATTTTTTTCGGGTTTTTTTAAAAAGAAAAATCAAATTTTAAGAATTGTTTTTAAAAGTAATATAAAGAGTCATTTAAAATTCTAAAAATAGTACTTTGAACAAAATGCAGATGAAAGTGATAGTTTCAATATTTTTGATGTGTTTTTTACCCCATTCATTGGAAGGTATTCGTCCGAACAGACCTTTCGTTGGTAAGTTTTTGTTTTAACATTAAAAAAAATAATAATAAAGAATCTAAATCAAAGATCGGATCAAAATTGAGACTTCTGACTCTTTTTCAACTACTGTTACTAAGACACCATTAATTGTGTATGTTTAGAAAATGAAAAAACAAAAGTGAACAAATTAAAAATTTGAAAAGTTTTTCTAAAGAAACGGATTTTTTAAACTATACGTTTAATTTTACAGTATGCTCATCCATTGCCGTGCATCCTAAAAATATCGTTAATTTTTTCATTTAACATTTTCATACAATACCTTTAAATATTTCTGCACACAATTTCTTTAAAAATTGATGCATACAATACCTTTAAATATTTCCGCATACAATATCTTTAAATATTAATGCATACAATATCTTTAAATATTTTCGCACACGATTTCTTTAAATATTAACTATTTCCGCATAAAATTTATTTAAAAATTGATGCATACAATACCTTTAAATATTTACGCATACCATTCTTTAAATATTTCTGAATACAATATTTACTAATATAATCCGTTTAAATATTTGCGCAAACAAACACTTTAAATAATTATGCTTCCATTTTATTTACATATTTAAAAATACAATTCCTTTGTATATTTACGCTTATAAAATCTTTAAATAATTACTTTTACAATTCCTCTTAATAGTTACACGTACAATTTCCCTTTAAATACTAACACATACAACCATTTTAAATATTATCTCTATTCCCTTTAAATATTTAAAAATATATATAATCCATGAAAATACTTACGCACACCATCCCTTTAAATATTTATTCTTACAATCCCTTTAGATATTTATGCATAAAATCCCTTTAAATATTTACGCATACAACCCCTGTGAATGTTTACTCAGGCCATCCCTTTTAACAATTAAATATTTTTTTCCATAATGCTTGCCATGCATCATTAACTTGTTGTATACAAGAATAGGCTACAAAAAGAATTTTTCGTACAATAATTAGTCATTGTGGATCCAGAATATCGGGGAAAACATGATGCTACAACTCTTCCTTCTTAGTTAAACAGTTTTTAACATATTTTACAGTATCGTTAAATGCTGCTTTTTGAACGTGGTGACGCCGATATAAAATTGAACTCTCTGGCTCGTTTTCAGCTCGACCACAAAAGTGAAGTCGTTTAGTCAGAGCTTAAACCCGAGTAAACCCCGGTCTATTGAAGCTTAGCAAACCCCCAAGTCTGCAGAATTGGTTCTGCTTAGAAAGCTTTCTCTCTGTAGCAGACAAATTCGATGTGACAAGGAGATGTAGCAATCGAAAATTCGAACTTTATGTAGATACATTATTTTCATAGTATGTCTTTGGTCAAATTTGACACCACAAATAATGTCCAATATTTTAAATGTACAAACATAATACTTATTACGAAATTTACGATCATCAGCTTTTGAAGACCCAAGCTTTAAAGAGCGAAAACCCCAAGGCGGTTGTTTTTACTACATCCAAGGCCATCCAAAATCCGAGTCATAACATGAGCTTTACTTAGGTTAAGTAGATGCTTAGACCTGAGATGAGATTTTAAAAGATTAAACCCAAGTAAAACCCAGTCTTTGCGTCTCCTTAGACCCAAGTAAAGCTCAAGTAAAGACCCAAGTTTTGGATGGCCTTGAGTTTAGTAAAACCAACCATCTTGGGTTTTTCTCTCTTTAAGGCTTGAGTCTTCAGCAGCTGATGATCTTAAATTTCGTAAAATCTTTTATATTTGTACATTTAAAATCTTGAGATTTATTTGTGGTGTCATATTTGATTAAATTTATAAAATAAACATACTATGAAAGTAATTTATCATCATAAAGTTTGAATTTTCGAAATTTACATCTCCTTGTCACAGCTGATCTGACGGGATTCTGTCTGCTACAGAGAGAAAGCTTGCCAAACACTCTCTCATTGGTCGAATCAGAACCAATCCTGACTTGGGTTCTATCTAAGCCCGAGTTTGGTTTTTACTCGGGTTTCAACTCTTAAAATCTCATCAGGATTTAGTTGGGTTTAAGCTTTTAAAATTTCATCTCAGGTTTTACTTGGATTTAAGCTTTTAAAATCGCAATAGGGTTTCCAAATTTCGGTCCAATCTCTTTCGCGAAAATTTAGTTCAAGCCAACGAAAATGTGAACGAAAACGAAATTGTTTGTTCATTTTCAAGAAAATTTTCATTAAAACATTTTCGATGAAATTCGAATTGGCTGAAATATTTTGAGGTACCCATGGACCATGGGTACCTGGGGGACAACATAGAGTAAAAACATTACATATTTTTTTTAATCGGAATTTTTTTTTTCAAAATTTTAATCTTTTTCATTCCACGGGCGACGCCGGACACTTTAGTATTCTATATAATAAAGCTCTTTGCTCATATATATATTATATACATGGGTAACGGGGGGGGGGGGTTAATATAGGCAAAAAAAACTGTATTTTTTATTCGTTTATTATTTTTAATTCCACGGGCAACGCCAGGCACTCCAGGTAGTGTTAGGTAAAAGCGTAAATTTATTTATTGTTGTTATTGAAAGAAAGTTATTTGTCCTGTGATTCTGACCGCAAATGTGCACAAGGTGTACAAAAAATCCAACTTTTTGTGACGGATTTTTTGAACTGTCAAAGTATCCTAATTAAACCCAGTATTGGAAACCCGGTTTAAGGAATGGGGTCAGGATGTTTTGTAGATACCAATATTTTTAATGCTGTTGTTTCTTTACATTCTCTTCTTGTTTTCTGGTTTATAAAATCAAAATCTACGCAATTATAAAGACTCCAAATAAAAACCGAGGGAGCTTCAATCGACGGAAATTAAATATCCGACTAGGTGTTGTCTGATATTTATTGTTCTGAACGATACCATTTATGCAGTATACGCAGTATACGCACTGTATATTGTTTTTTTCTAGAGAAGGTGAATGATAAGTACAAACTAAACCTTTATTTGACCAGTAAACTACCAATAAAGGAATATCCCGGCAGAATTTTAAAGACAATATTGAATCAGCTTTTTTATACAAAATAGCTGCATAATTAAGCTCAAAATACTTTCATTTTTAAATTGAAAAAATAAAAAAATTGTAAATTTGATTCTTCAAAAATAACGCAATTTAATTTTTCTTTAGAACTTTAATAGTTTTTTTATATTTTATCTCCATAATTTGTTATCAATTTTGTTGCTGCACTAAAGAAACTAGAAGCCCAGGAAATGAAAGGAAGGAAGTGGGTCCATTTTGCAAATTTCAGGTTACATTTTATATGTAATATTTTTTTTCACAACTCAATGACTTTCTGTTTTGGGCGAATATATTACATATATTCAACCTCTTTTTCTTTAAAATTTGTATGAAACCAAATCCGATTTTATTCCTATTCCCTGGATTTTATCCGAATTTTGAGCGAAATCTAAGGATCAAGCGTTGATTTACATCTTATGCAGACCTTTAATATCGTAGTCGTTATACTCTGCAGGAATAACAGTCATAACGTTTATTCTTCTTAAGATTTAAATTCATTACGGAAATGAATATTTTTAAATAAAAAATATATAATAATAATAATAACATAATAGTTATCTCGTTTACATTATACTTTTATCTACAAATAATATAACTCAAGAATTCCGTTTATATGACGTTAATATCAAGTCAATCCCTATTTTTTATAATTAATGTTCATTGCATGGATATCCCTAAAGGATGAGAATTCAGAGACGATTGAATTCAAACATTTGAATCTAAAGTTTCTGACATTGATGTTTCTCAGCAGCTGTCAACAATCTTTTTATAATTAATGAATAATTAAATATACCATGCTCAAACACTATACTATATAGTATACTATACTATATACTATATACTATATACTATACTATATAGTATACCATGCTCAGTGACTATTTTTACCTAATTAGATCGTCATTAGAGTCTCATCCGTTGGGGTTAACTCTGTATATTGATTATAGTGTGAACGATAGTCTAGATTATCCAAGAATGGATTCAATACCTTTATCGTCCTACTCCGACCAGATGTACAGGTAGGGTCAGCATATAGACCCCTGACTGCTATAACGGTCAGTATATTTATCTAGACTGCTATAACGGCCAGTACATTGATCCAGACTGCTATAACGGTCAGTACATAAATCCAGACTGCTATAACGGTCAGTACATAGATCCTGATTGCTATAACGGTCAGTACATAGATCCAGACTGCTATAAAGGTCAGTACGTAGATCCAGACTGCTATAACGGTCAGTACATAGATCCAGACTGCTATAACGGTCAGTACATAGATCCTGACTGCTATAACTGCCAGCACATTGATCTTGACTGCTATAACGGTCAGCACATAGATCATGACTGCTATAACGGTCAGTACATTGATCCAGACTGCTATAACGGTCAGTACATAGATCCTGACTGCTATAACGGCCAGCACATTGATCCAGACTGCTATAACGGTCAGTATATAAATCCTGACTGATATAACGGCCAGAAAATTGTTCCAGGCTGCTTTATAGGTCAGTACATAGACCCAGACTGCTATAACGGTCAGCATATATATCCAGACTGCTATAACAGTCAGTACATAGATCCTTACTGCTATAACAGTCAGCATATAGATCCAGACTTCTATAACAGTCAGTATATAGATCCAGACTGCTTTAATGGTCAGCACAAAGATCTAGACTGCTATAACGGTCAGTACATATATTCAGACCGCTATAATGGTCAGTACATAGATCCAGACTGCAATAACGGTCAGTACATAGATCCAGGCTGCTATAACGGTCAGTACATAGATCCAGACTGCTATAACGGTCAGTACATAGATCCTGACTGATATAACGGCCAACACATTATTCCAGACTGCTGTAACAGTCAGCATATAGATCCAGACTGCTATAACAGTTAGCACATATATTCAGACTGCTATAACGGTCAGCACATAGATCCAGACTGCTATAACGGTCAGCATATAGATCCAGACTGCTGTAACAGTCAGCACATAGATCCAGACTGCTATGACAGTCAGCACATATATCCAGACTGCTATAACGGTCAGTACATAGATCCTGACTGCTATAACAGTCAGCATATAGATCCAGACTGCTATAACAGTCAGTATATAGATCCAGACTGCTATAACGGTCAACACAAAGATCTAGACTGCTATAACGGTCAGCACATATATTCAGACCGCTATAATGGTCAATACATAGATCCAGACTGCTATAACGGTCAGTACATAGATCCTTGCTGCTATAGCGGTCAGTACATAGATCCAGACTGCTATAACGGTCAGTACATAGATCCTGATTGCTATAACGGCCAACACATTATTCCAGACTGCTGTAACAGTCAGCACATAGATCGAGACTGCTATAACAGTCAGCACATAGATCCAGACTGCCATAACGGTCAGCACATAGATCCAGACTGCTATAACGGCCAGCACATAGATCCAGACTGCTATAACAGTCAGTACATATATCCAGACTGCTATAACGGCCAGCACATAGATCCAGACTGCTATAACAGTCAGTACATAGATCCAGACTGCTATAACAGTCAGTACATAGATCCAGACTGCTATAACAGTCAGTACATATATCCAGACTGCTATAACGGCCAGCACATAGATCCAGACTGCTATAACAGTCAGTACATAGATCCAGACTGCTATAACAGTCAGTACATTGATTCAGACTGCTATAACAGTCAGTACATAGATCCAGACTGCTATAACGGCCAGCACATTGATCCAGACTGCTATAACGATCAGTACATAGATACTGACTGCTATAACGGCCAGCACATTGATCCAGACTGCTATAACGGTCAGTACAATGATCCAGACTGCTATAACAGTCAGCACATAGATCCAGACTGCTATAACGGTTATAGTACGTAGATCCAGACTGCTATAACGGTCAGTACATAGATCCCGACTGCTATAACGGCCAGCACATTGATCCAGACTGCAATTACGGTCAGTACATAGATCCTGACTGCTATGACAGTCATCACATAGATCCAGACTTCTATAACGGTCATTACATAGAACAATACTGCTATAACGGCCAGCACATTGATCCTGACTGCTATAACGGCCAGCACATAGGTCCTGACTGCTATAACGGTCAGTAAATAGATCCAGACTGCTATCACGGCCAGCACATTGATCCAGACTGCTATAACGGTCAGTACATAGAACCAGACTGCTATAACGGCCAACACATTGATCCTGACTGCTATTACGGCCAGCACATTGATCCTGACTGCTTTAACGGTCAGTACATAGAACCAGACTGCTATAACGGTCAGTACATAGATCCCGACTGCTGTAACGGCCAGCACATTGATCCAGACTGCTATAACGGTCAGTACATAAATCCTGACTGCTATAACAGTCAGCACATAGATCCAGACTTCTATAACGGTCAGTACATAGAACCATACTGCTATAACGGCCAGCACATTGATCCTGACTGCTATAACGGCCGGCACATAGATCCTGACTGCTATAACGGTCAGTAAATATATCCAGACTGCTGTAACGGCCAGCACATTGATCCAGACTGCTATAACCGTCAGTACATAGATCCAGACTGCTATAACAGTCATTACATAGATCCAGACTGCTATATGGGTTGCATGAGTTTTCAGATATGTACGTTAACTTTGAAAGTGTCCCAACTATTTGATCTTTTACCACAATAACTTCACAGTCACAAAGTACAATTTTATCACTCTAAAGCACTTGTTTTAGTTTAAGTTTTAAAGAAGTAATTGGTAAAACTCCATTGAGTGCAGATATAAATGTTTGATTACCATTTTAAATTTTAGGGTAAAGGCGACATTAAATAACGGGACTGTGCTACGATCCTTACCTTCTAATAAGGAATAATATTTTTCTTAAAAAAAATGAGTCGAATAAAGACAAAGCTCTCTGGCAGACTCTCCGCCTTTCATTCGTCTCTTCTGATGGGTTAATCTTCCTCCTTTTGGCTGCCAAACTTCGACCTTGTCCCGGAAAATCCTCTTTCTCTTGAATCAAGCTTTTTGACCTTAGTTTAAAATAGAGAGTTTAACGGCGGCTTGTATTCTCCACACTTGGAAAGCAGTCCACGTGTTGAAAGCATGATTTCTGGATGGCCTTTAACAGACAAACTCTGAATACCTATACACATGGCGACTTATCATCCGCCCCCCTTTATGCCCGACCACAACTATATACACGAAACTGATTTGACGCTTGTGATGTAAGAATACAACTGTACTGAGAGTGTACAAATACTACGTTGCCATCTATTGTACTTAACAATCTATTTGGTATTTGTTTTATATAAAATGCACTTAAACGCCAATTAGTTTGTCCGCCAGGTGTCTCTGCTTTTGATGCTCTTATTGATTCCAGCTGGCAGAGACGTCTAGCTGAAAAAATCGTTGTTTCAAGTGCATTATATATAGAATAAATACAAAATATTATGAAATATCAACTGTATAAGAATTTATCAAAAAATAATCGATGAGCATATGTTTTAATATCTAAATGATTTGTTTTTGCCATAAGCCTGTACCCCCTTTTATTTTTCGCGAACACTCTCTTTTCAAGGAACTGCAAACTTTACTTTATGTAAATCCTCCATTGTATGTATAGACTGGCACAATGGTAAACACAATGATACCCTGTGTCTGATCAAGTATAAATTAAACTTTAAATTTTTAAAACTAATTATGTGTTTTGGTGGTGGTTTCTTTAGACATGCGCATTTCTAGCATGTGAAACATCAGAGAAATAATCAAAATAAAACACTTTTTAAGCTAGAGAAACAACGCTATATATTCCAAAATATTCCTAAGATTAAGGTTTCAAGGGTACCATTGTGAATCGGGCATGCCCCTTTATTTAAAATAGAGACTCACTTAAACCCTTGAAAAGTTAAAACCCTGAATATTAATCAATTAGTTAGAGACCGGAAGTTCTTCAGATAATATTCTCGAGTTCACCCCACCATCTCCTAATATTAGTGTACTGCCAAACATGTCTTATCTAGGTACGTTATCAGGATTTTATATATGTATAGTATAGGCTTTGTGCCTCTCTTTCTTGTAACAAATGTTACGTTACTTGAAACCCATTTGCTTGAATAATATATTAAAAAAACATTGCATTATAAAATTTCCCAGATTTCCCTGCTTTTATTTCCAAAATTCTGAGAAATTTAGATTTTTTTAAGATATTGTTTTTTAATCTGACCGTTTAAAAACCTTCTTTTAACATACTGTTTTTTGATCTGACCGTTTAAAAACCTTTTTTTACCATATCGTTTTCTTATCTGACCGTTTAAAAACCTTTTTTTAACATATTTTTTTTATCTGACCGTTCAAAAACCTTTTTTTAACTTACTGTTTTTTATCTGACCGTTCAAAAGCCTTTTTTTAACATATTTTTTTTTATCTGACCGTTTAAAAACCTTCTTTTAACATATTGTTTTTTTTTATCTGACCGTTCAAAAACCTTTTTTTAACATATTGTTTTTTTATCTGACCGTTCAAAAACCTTTTTTTAACATATTGTTTTTTATCTGACCGTTCAAAACCCTTTTTTAACATACTGTTTTTTTATCTGACCGTTCAAAAACCTTTTTTTAACATATTTTTTTTTATCTGACCGTTTAAAAACCTTCTTTTAACATATTGTTTTTTTTTATCTGACCGTTCAAAAACCTTTTTTTAACATATTGTTTTTTATCTGACCGTTCAAAACCCTTTTTTAACATACTGTTTTTTTATCTGACCGTTCAAAAACCTTTTTTTAACATATTGTTTTTTTATCTGACCGTTTAAAAACCTTCTTTTAACATTTTGGTTTTTTTTATCTGACCGTTTAAAAACCTTTTTTAACATACCGTTTTTTTATCTGACCGTTCAAAACCTTTTTTGCCACAAACTCAAATATATTAATCCCTATATCTTTGAAAATCTGAGGCAAAGACTCAATTCGTTTCGAATTTAATTGAAAATATTTTTTTATTCAGACCATTCAAAAACCTTTTCGCGAAGTCATATTTTGGTCTTATATGTTTTTAGAAACAGACTGACGAACAAATATTTTGTTCTAAACATGGATTGACACGTAGTATTTCACCAAAGTGCATCCAACAATGTCTGGAAGTTTATGATACAGAATTGATTATTCCTTTATTCCATATTTTTGTTTTTGCTCCGAACTTAATTACCTTTATTTTGATAATATTAATGCATTCTCCCAAAATTGCTAAAACATTCATAGCCTGATTAATATCTTATAAATATTATGTAAAGGGTATGTGTATATGTTTTAAAAGTAGCATTCCCTCTTTTTTTTTAAAGATTCTAATTTGATCATGTTTCTCTTTTACATGTTTTAAATTGTTAATTAACGCTTAAAAAAAAATATATTCTTACCCTTCTTATTGCTGAAAAACTTGGATGATACATGTAGAAAATAAACAGTTCTTTATTAAATATTGGCAACAAATTTTGAAAGCGATGTTGTTAAGCTCTATATTTGATATTTCTTTTTAGCAACTATATCTGCGGAATATTTGTTTAGTGTGAATTGAAAACACAAAATATTTCACAATGATCTTATTGTTGATTTTGTCATTACAAAATCTAATTTTATAAAAAAAAAACATTTCCATGCCTAAAGATAAGTTCTAAAAATAATGAAAGTGATGCAGTTTTATATTTCCAACCTTGCGAATTTTATATATATTTTGCAAACTGTTAACTTGGGAATAGGAAAATGCAGTGCTAATTTCCAGAATTAAGTTAAATTCCGCAAAATTTCTAAACTTAATTTTTTCTTCTCTACTTTATATCTACTAATTAGCCCTTTTCTACAGGGTGCAACATTCTGCAACCAAAGCTTTAACTTTTCTGTTTTTATTGAATGAAAACCTTAGATGTTTCAAACTTAGACATCGGGTTGCTTAAAGATATAGGGATTAAATTAGAGTTTGTGACAAAACTCATTTCCTTGGTTTTATTTCAGTTGAATGGAATCCTCCCAAGATGTGGAACTTAAGGAACAGTTTAATTCTATCAAGAAAAAGTTTGGGGTTGGTTTTTTTCCTTTCTCTCCTTTCCTATTTACCTGCATTTTCATTTCTGACATTATCACCTAAAAACTTCTTGATTTTCAGACCTATGTGTCACAAAAACAAAAAAATGTGGAAATTTCCAAATCGTTTTCACATTTTCTGGCGTAAATTTTTTACATTTGGTAACCTCTTTAGTACGGTGGAGTGGAACACTAAGGGGCAACTACTACCACTCAAGTAAATTGTTTACATTTGGTAACCTCTTTAGTACGGTGGAGTGGAACACCAAGGGGCAACTACTACCACTCCACGTCGACAAGTAGATTCAAACCTGCAGCCATCTTAGGGTTAACACAATAAAATAATTAATTACGGTCTATTGTTATAGGCATATATTCTTTTGGTATTATTAATTTATTTAAAATTATTTTGTCTCTAAATCTCATATTTTTTGTTCCAAAAGATTAAATATTTTATGCTTCAGGGTTATTATGTTCCAAATGCTCTGTACTAGTCCATGTGTGCTCAAACTATAATCACATCATTTTAGATTCTTTTCTCCTGACTTTATCTTAAATTCTAGATATTCTATTTTATTTGACAGAGAGCTAATCTTCAAAATGTTAAACACATTCCTTAATCCCTTGTGCACTTGTATCTACTTAAAACTTTCTTTTCTTCCTAAAATGTAAAATTCTAATTCTCTTGGAGAAGAGAAAAGTGAGAATCTACACAAGCGATGAATTATGAATCAGTTTAAATGTTTTTCTTTCATTTATTAATTAAAATACCTAGCTAGCAATAGCTATTCAGACCAGAAAGTGATGGTTTGCTGGGTATAATCATATATTATACAACTTTTAAAAAGACTTATTTTGTTTATCAGTAAAATTCTTTCTGTTAAAAATTACAGTATATCAGTGGAAATTAGTTCGAAACCAGGTTTATGGCCATTTCAACATCACTGGGGGTTAGAAATGGACACTGATTAAACGATTGGGTTTATAGAATCCCATATCGTAAATTAATAACAATGTTAATAAAAGCACGACCAGGACAACAATTGCTGTTTTTAAACTATTTTATAAAGTCAAAATTGTAATATATTGTATATCAAAAACTTGACCTGTTATAGTACATACCAACAAATTTGAATCTGAATTTCATAACAATTCCCGTCTGGAATATAACTCACAATTAAATACAAAACAACTCACTTTCAAAACTAACTAAAAACATGTTCTTAAAATGAATGTACTGCTGAACTGTTTATAAAAATCTAGGTTTTCTCTGCAAACTAAGAATCGAATTATCTAAGATTAAAATATAAAAAGGTTTATTTATACCATCAGGTTGCAAAGATATAATGATTAGAAAATTTTAGTTTGTGGACCTAAAGGTTAGAAATGGACCAAATCATGGTTTGGAACTAATGTCCCCTGTACATTGTAGACCCTGTACTTAGAATTTTAATGTTTGCAAATTAATTTTTGGCAAATGCAATTCCATGAAGTTTGCATACTTGAAGTTCAAAAAGGCACAGCTGCAATACCATCAACCTAGTCTAGATAAAAAATAAAAAATAAATTAAGAAACTAAAAACAATGTTTGAAGGGGAGGCAGTCACAATTATTAAGTTAAAAATAAATTGATTACTCGGTGCTTAGCTCCTTAAATTGTCTATTATCAATGAACATGGCCATTTTTAATATTTTTATCATTAATCAAATCTTTTAATTAATATTTATGTGCATTAATTAATGAATGAATTGTTGTTCAGTTCTGATATTGCATTAGGTTTCCCATTCTAGGATTTATAAGAAATATTTACGAACAGTCCGATCTTAGGATTGCAGTTTTATGTTTTATGTTTCGATTATACAGGGCTAACTATAAAGCATGTGACTTTAATGGCAACCTTAAAAATCTGAACCTTTACCGATCTGTTGCCTTTAATTTGGCCTAAAAGAAATTTACTTAACGACCATTAGGCAAAGAAAGAAACAAGTTTTAAGTTCAAGACTGTAAGATACAAAAACAAAGTTTTAAGTTGAAGGGAATCAAGATTGTAAGATACAAAAACAAAGTTTTAAGTTGAAGGGAATCAAGATACAAAAACAAAGTTTTCCTTTCAAAAATTCATATTTAAACTTCAATAATTTAAACAAAAAACTTGCACAAATAAAATTGCAGAAAGTGAAAGTATTTTAAAGCGTTATTTAAGTTAGTAATGGGAAACCTAAAAGTGCTTGAGAATGATGCGAATGGAACTTGGGATAAGGTAAGTTATTTCTATAAAATCATTTGTTTTTTATTTCTTTAATCGACAACCAAAAACTCTTTAAGCATAACAAGATTTAATTTGGCAGCTGAATTTGAAAATTTCTTTACACATCAAATTGTATATTATTTACTAATAAAGAGACATGTGCATATAACTGCAAGGAATTATATTTTAAAAAAATGGATGCCATTTTTTGAGGGAACCCCAGTAGCTAATATCTGTTTGCTGTTACAGAACGAAAAACTGGTTTTATCCAACGCTGGTCCTGATGGTGTAGTAAGAATCCTGACAAGAAAGGACGACATTTTAAAATATACATTTTCTGGTTTAAATATTTAAAACTTTTGTTGCAAAATGAAGTGGTGTTCCATTATCTTTTGAATTAGATTTTATCAATATTTGCAGAAAATGATAATAATTTTTGTTAGCCATCTAATAGTTTATGATATCTAACCAATGTCACAGATACATCCGCCGCTAATATAAGAGTTCAGCTTCTAGGAATGTTAAGCAGTTTAAAAATAGAATGATAAAGGTATTAAGTCTATGCCACAAACTCAAATTTTCCAATCCCTATTTCATTGATAATTCAAACGTAGATTATTTTATCTAACAGAATTATAGTTTGAAATATCTAAGGTCTACAAGATAAAGAGAGTAGACAATTGTTCTCTCTTTTAAATGAACAAAATGTGTATTGTTTAACAATTTATTAGACGCCGAATACCAGAACTCTTTACCTTCTGCAATCATAGATTTAAAAGAACTTAAAGGTAAAAAAATATTAATGTTTTCTTAGTTTAAATTAGACGTAAAGTAGATCCAATTTATCTAAATATGCACACGGTTACCAACAAAGATAATTCAGTTCGTCCTTAGAGTCTCGCTCTAACGACGAACTGAACTTCTTTAAATGCATTTTATCTAAAGGATGAACTTTTATTGTTACCTTGAATATATAAAGGTTTGCAAAATGATTTAGTATTAAAAAAAACACAAGCTAAAGGAATTATGCTAATGTAAGGGTCAAGTATTTCTTTAAGTATTTACCTAGTGAAAGATTCCTATTAAAGACCAAATACGTTTACATTTGTTCACAGATTTTTAATTTTTATAAAATTTCAGGTGGCCAAGTAGCAAATGCATCAAAAATTGGTATGTTCGATTGATGTAATCATATACAAATCAATTATGTTTTTTGTTCGAAAAGTCAATATAAAAGTTATGGATTTTAATTATTAAAGGGTAATCAATTAATAATAATTTTTTTAAAATATTGAAGAAATGTTGATATTTTTTAATATTTGTGTGATCACAGATTGTTATTATGATTGAATTTGCGGCAAATAATCAGTTTCTTAGAATAAAGTCAACATCACGCAATAATTTGAATTGAATTGATTAGTTTTGTTTTAGATACAATAGTTAAAACTGTGCTTAATGAAGTTTTATACAAAATTGGAAAAAATGGTAAATATTTACTGTCCCTTTAAGTGAATTTTTTTTAACTTACATTGTCTATTATAATTTTTTTAAACTATTAATTAATTAGTAAATTTATGTGAAATTCTTTAGTTTTTCTTTTTTAGTTTTTTAAATTTCAGACCAGAAAAATAAAACAGAAGGGAGCCCTAATCAAGCTGAAATTGTGGGTAATCATTATCTAGTGATTGATTCAAAATGTTTTAAAATTAATTAATTAAATATATTTATATAAACTCTTTCCAGCTAATGAATTTTTTTTTGGGGGGAGGGGAGGAGGGGGTAAAAGTATTTTACAGGATTAATAAAGTTTTTGAAATTCCCGGAAATTATTCCCCATACATTTTAAAACTTTTTTATTATTCATTTGCAATGTCAAAATACATTTTTTATTGTCTTCAGTTTCTTTAATATATTAAGTTTGTTTCAACATTATATAAACTTTTTTCTGCAAACTTTTAATATTTTTTTACTAAAATGCTGCATTTTCCTTCATCTTCTGTTTTCCTTGTTTTTAAGGTATTTTCTACAGCAATCCTTTCTGTACACAATTTGTTTTCATTTCAAAAACTTTAAGATTCAAACTCGGCTTTCTGGAACATGTTCTATTAGTAAACTCGTCTTTCTAGAACATGTTCTATTAGTAAACTCGGCTTTCTAGAACATGTTCTATTAGTAAACTCGGCTTTCTAGAACATGTTCTATTAGTAAACTCGGCTTTCTAGAACATGTTCTATTAGTAAACTCGGCTTTCTAAAACATGTTCTATTAGTAAACTCGGCTTTCTAGAACATGTTCTCTTAGTTCTATTTCAAGAAAAATTATTTTTCAATTTAAAAGAAATATAATTTTGCAGTTTTTGCACTATATTTCAATATTTTAATAAAACAAGAACATTGCTACTGATTGCAAAGGATCGCTTAAAACACAAAATGATAAAAAAAAATTAATTCATAAAAAAATATTTTTCAGAATTTGAAGGGGAAAATGTCAATTTTATCAAATTCCAAAATTTCGAAAAAAATATCTTTCTATTCAAATGAAATATATATTTTAGCATTTTTTGCTCTATTTTTTATTTAATTATCTTAAACAATAACACTGCAAACGATTGCATAGGTTCGAATTGAACCTAACTAATTCATATTTTTTTACTCTGCTCTTCTGTTTTTGAATGACATCAAAAACTCGAAATCAGATTTTTAACGATCCAACTTATTAGATTTATGAAAAAATGTGAAAATCAAATTAACTTTTTCAGCAGATGATAAAGAAGCTGATGACTATGAAAACGAGGAAAGATGAAATCTTTACAAAATTTATGAAAATTGTTGAAAATATTTGTTAAATTCAAATCAATCTATGAAATAAATGAATACATTTGTATCTCATTAGTGTCTAATATGTATAATAACAGCCAGTAATGCATATCATGTTTATTGCTCTCTAGTCTATACGTATGCCTTGATTGTCAGAAATATAAGAGCTTTTATTACTTAAAATTAAAAATTTATGATTAAAATTTTGTCTGTATTTTTCACTGCAGAAGATCCACTTTAGGAAGAGAAGGGATTTCCTCAACCACCTTTGCTAACTCCTCCACTCTAAATAAAAAGACAAAATAATATATATATTTTTTGAAAATCAAATTCAATTGGCTTAATCTATAAAAGTTATTTGATGCAAAATATGTATCAAGAATAGGTTGCACAACTTAGAAATTATTTATCTTTGGGTCAATAATCAGTCAGTTTTGGTTGTATTTAATAATATAAAATCTAAATGATTAAAAACTTTCTTGTTCATTTGAAAGGACAGACCTCTTTTTAAACCCTTTTACATACAGTTATTTTAGAGTTATTAGTCTGACTTTAAAATCCCCTCAGCTTCCCCCCCCTAAAATATTTTGAATTACTATATTGTAGATTAATTTTACGTCACAACAAAATGTAAACATCACTTCAATTTTCATTGACATGAGTATTGTTCTGTACTTTTTGTAAAAACTTTATTGAAAGGTTACACTAAGTATAGCTTTGTACAGCTGTACATGTGCACATAAATGCTTTATACTGTACCTGGATTCGTACATGTACCCCTTGTACAACTGTACATGTATACATATATAGCTTTATACTGTACCTGCATGCATAAATGTACCCCTTGTACAGGTTTTCAGGTTCTTTTACACCTTCCAGGATTGTTGGATTGTCCAGGGGTGGGCAGAGAATGTAAGAGGCAGGAAGCTCCTTCAATTAAAACCATTTTTTGTGACTTTTGTAATACAGTGAGACCCATAAAACTGTGAAATAGGAAAACAAAATCTAAGCAATGGTATTAGAAGTGTTTTCAGGACAAATGACGGGCACCCGTAGTACATTTGAATTTCCGAGCCGGTTCAACCTTTCCAGTTTGTACTGTATTGCCCGGACATTGGGTATAAAGCAGACACTCAGTAGGACTAGCCGGTGCAACAAGGTTGACGCGGTCAGACTTTCGGTTAAATTTACTTTTACTAAAGGGTCAGAGGTGCGTGAAATGTATTAGCTTGCACTTCTAACTGCACAATTGCAATGTTTTAGGTTCACTGGACTTTACATGTTTAAAGTCATTACTTCAGGTTTAACAGCCGGCTTTTTAATCCACAGTTTAAATCTATTTCTACAAGGATTTAATATTTCTAGCAATGATGTATCAAAGTATACAGTGGGACTGCGTACAGTAGGTCTATAAATATATTATAAAATAAACGTCATTGGTTATATTCTAATCACATGTTGTATTAATATAACAGAGTGCAAAACTTAAGAAACTCATGAAACTTGCTGCGATACCCGGTGTCCTGAAACTGAAATTTCTTTTAAGTTTTGCCCTCAGGGATATTATTGGTTGTGTAATGTGTATTGTGTAAATCTGTATATTTGCAATAAAATCAAGTATTTAAAAGAACTTAACAATGTAAATTAATAAATATGCGTTTAGCACTATTTTGGACATTTTTGGCATTTTCTGTCTTCTTTCTAGTGTAAATTTTGGCCTGCTTTTGCAAAAGTAGTTTGTCAAAAGAAACTGAGGGTTTATTACAGACTCCGATTTTCTAACCTAATATCTTTGCAACCCGATATCTTAGACCTTTGATAGTTATGATAGATCAAAAGTTTAGTTTGAAATATTAAAGGTTTACATTCTTAGGTTGCAAAGATAAAGCGCTTTGAGTTAGCGGAAAAAAAAACTTAAATCTTTTTTTAAAAAAAATAATTGATTATAAAGATGAGATATTAGTACCGTAAGATGTGGGTTATTAACTCCTATAACAGCTACCCCAGTCTCTTGAAGGGGATCTAGCACTATCTTCCAGTAAAATCTTCATAAAATAGGATATTTGTCAATTTTTCAAGTTTTTATTCTAAAACAAAACCATCGAAAAGTTGAATGTGAGCAAAAGGAATTGAGACTTTGCCACCAACTCTGATTTACTAATCCCTATATCTCGGGATTCCAATGTCGTAGACCTGTTACATTTCAAACTATGAATTCTGTAAGATCAAATAATATAAGTTTGAAATATCAAAGGTTTACAACATTTAGTTCCAAAGACATAGGTATTTAAAAATTAAAGTTTGTGGCAAAGAATCAACTCCTCCAAGAAGTTAGTAAAAATGAAATAATAGAACGTATGATCGTTGACATTTACGATTAAACTAGAAAATTTGTAAGGTTAACCAATGACCGAAAGCATTGCGAACTGACGCAAATTCTGTTAGAATCAGCTCACATTTAAAATTTCAGAACGTATATTTCGTACAATCTAACAAGTTGTTACCAATCTAAAATTTTTTAGAACATTTAATAATCTTTAAGAATTAAAGAAATAGTGAAGAAAATACTCAATGTAAGCAAATTTTTTTATTTGACACGCTAAAAGTTTTCTTGCAGTAGGGTTTAATGATAAAACAAGAATTACTTTGGTACCGGAAGTCTGTTTCCATCATATATATAAATATCCACCATGTCTCCCTTCACATCAGCTAGCTCAAGAATACCGTGGGTTCCTATAAGGTTAGACAGGATACAGGATACAGTATACAGGATACAGGATACAGGATACAGGATACTGGATACAGTATACAGGATACAGGATACAGTATACAGGATACAGTATACAGGATAGAGGCTATAGTGTCTTGAATCCTGTATCAAGTAACAATGATCATAGAAACAGTCACAGGATGCAGGATACAGAAAACATGATACAGGATACAAGATAAAAGATACAGATATAGGAAACAATGATACAGAATACATGATATAAATCTTATTTTTCACGAAAAACTATTCTATTTATTTTTGTCGTGTAATAACTAAATTGTATGAACACTAACCTGTATATATTTCAGCATCAAATGTTCTTGAAATAATGAAATTTCGAACTGTATTCTCCAAGGAGTTCCAGTTCAAGCCTACAATTAGCCAGCTTTTGTGAGAACATAAAATCCAAGACAATGTTTAAAGAATATAGAATGGTTAGCATCACAAATATAAGAAGCATCTGAAATAATTTGTTTTGGGGTACTCTGAAGTTATCTGAAGTTATCTAATTCTTTTTAGAAAAGAAAATGCTTAACTAAACAAAAACTGATTCACCTTATATTTAAGTAAAATAAGTTAAACTAAACAAAAACTGATTCACCTTATATTTAAGTAAAACAAGTTAAATTAAACATAAACTGATTCACCTTATATTTAAGTAAAATAAGTTAAACTAAACAAAAACTGATTCACTTTATATTTAATTAAGATAAGTTAAACTAAACTTACCATTAAAGGTTTGCCATTGTGGAGCTACATTGATAAAATGAAATGATGAATCCATCCAGCTGAAAATATAAAAATAAAAAATGTTCACAACTATCAATGTAATGTTAAGAAACAAAGCATTTCTAATAATAATCTGAGAAACGATGCAAGACACTGAGCAATGTTAAAAGTAAAAAGTTTTCAAAAAGCTGGATACTGATTTCTGAATAACTGATCCTAGAGCGCTAAAGGGTTAAAATTAAACTATTCATTGAAAATCAAACGTGGAGTAACTCTTTGATCTGTTAAACAACCATAAAACACTTGTATGGTAAAAAATAAGAAATATAAGCAATTTTCTTTAATGGCCTTATCAAAGAAAAGATAAAACAGAAGATGAATTCCATCTCACCTAAAACACCCCTTCTTGCAGGGTATAATGCACTGAATTTTTACAGGCGACTTATATTAAAAAAAGTTTGATAGAGTAGCTCTAGAAATAACAATAAGAATAATATTTAGAAGGGAACGCCTCAAACTTAAAATTTATAATCTCAATATCTTCCTTATCTGGTTTCATAGACCTTTAATATGGCAAAGGAATTGAGTCTTTGCCACAAACTATGATTTTCTGATCACTATATCTTTGGAACCAAATGTTGGAGATCTTAGATAGTTCAAACTATGAATTCTGTTAGATCAATAGAGTTTGAAATATCAAAGGTTTAAAACATCGAGTTTATAAAGATATTTTGGTTTAAATATTTGATTTTGTTCCAAAGACTCAATTCCTTTAGAATTTTGACTGTTTAAACTACAGTGATAAAAAAGGTGCTTGAGAAAGTAATAATCTTATATATTACAAGATTAAGAAATTCAATCACCTAAAGAAAATAAAATCTGCATTTGGTGCCAGATGCCCCCTGGCCAGGAACAGATTTCCACTTTCCTAAAATTGTTTTCTGGATTTAGCTAAATGTTTTGCATTGTTGCAAATCTAGTTTTTACCTCAATATATTGCTCTGCTAGTTCTTGAGACCCGACCAGTTTACTAATCTCTTCTCTTTGAGCGTTCTTGTAAAATATTACATAGTTAGCTATATAGTACTAGACAACTAAAGAGGGCCCAATCAAACTGCAAAAAATACTCTTTTAGATTTCCGATTTATGTAGTACAGAAATAGTTATCACATCAAAGACCGAATTTAAAGAATTTGAGCCGCGGCTTAAATTTGCGACGCGGCTCAAATATAGTTGGTTCCACATAAAATTGTATTCAATGTTTCAAGATTTAAGCAGGCGCTTAATTAAAACTGGTTTTTGGCGAATTTGAGACGTGGCTAAAATTGATCAAACTCTGACTCCGTTTGAAGCATTTTGGCTTAGTTAAAAATTAATAACGAGATCATATGAAAAGTAAAAGAAAACTTATTTATGTTTTTTAATAAAATATCATATACCATATTTACAAAAAGGACTTTAAATTATTTATATATGCCAAATAGGTTATCAAGTACAATAGGTGGCAACAGAGAAATGGATCAATTATACACGACGTCGCAAGTGTCATATATAACAAGAAAAACGAAATGTTCTCACATTAGTTGACATGTTTTCCAAGATTAAAAATAAATAGGGTAAAAACAGCAAACAAAGAACACATAATTGCACTTTTTTTACAGTAAGATAAGCACTTTCTTCTAAAATTATCACTAAATTGTTAATAATTTTGTTGGACACAAACTAAGTTGACACTTGACGTGACATCTGTACTCTGTAGTCTAAAACCTCAGCTTATATTCTGAGTCTAAAACTAAATAATGCGCAAAATCCATAAAAAAATGAGTTATATTTGATATTATTAAAATAAACTTACTCTAGAATAAGCATGATCCACATCGTAATCATAAAAAGAATCCTGTGCATGCGAGAGAAGATGTCAATAAATTTTAAAATATAAAATACTGCAAATCAATAATATTCATGTCATAAAGGTTTCAATTTGTACACTAAAAGTATAGTTACTAGAAATTAATCAATAAAAGGTCACTTTGAATCCAGTTTTTAAAGTCAAGTACTAGAAAAATATGTTTGTCCCAATCTAAAAAAAGAAATCTTTAAAAGAACGAAAAAAATATGTTTGTCCCAATTTAAAAAAAAGAAATTTTTAAAATCTCTAATCAAAAAATCTAAATTGTTATATTGACCCTCCTTTTGGAAGTCAGGCCTGCTATTCCCGTGATCCTGTGCGCTTATCTGATAAAAAAAAATAATAAAAAAGGATGATGATAAATAACAAATATGAATTAGTTATCACAAATCACCATTTAAGAAAACCAGAAAAAAAGGAAATAATCCTCATTTAAAATGATTATACTAACTTCGTCCCAAAGTGTATGTTTGACCCAGAGTGTTCGTGAGATCGTCTGGTCAAAACACACTAAAAGTTAAATCATAAATAGTTTTTAAAAATCTAAATTTTGTCTTTGTTTTTGGTGTGTTTGTTCCAAATCAGGGTCAAAATAACAAAACCAAGTTTGTATGGAAACTTTGAAAATACTCCCTGATAGGAAAATGGGAAAATTCGAGAAATAGCTTTTATTTGTTTGTTTCAATTGGTTTTGACTATATCCTGATATGATTTCCTGTAAAGGTTGGGGTAGTCTGGTTGTCAGCTATCTAAATATATAAAAATATTTGGTTTGGTGTTTGCTTGTTCATATATCCAAAATTTTTAATTTTTTTAGGTTGATTTGCAAGAGAAGCATTTGCCCAAATCTCTCAAGTATGGCTCTGGAGTAAAACTATTCACTTTATAACAACGTACATCGGTTCTGCAGGATAAATCAACTTGTATAATTAAAATAGGATTGAGAGGTTTTGTGACCCATTTTGACACGTACTCAAAGCCAAGAATGTAATGCAAGGAAAGTTAATTGCAGTTGCGTATACTCTGCGTAAATATTGAAACAAATTCTCTCTGGGCGGAATTTGTAAACAAGAATAGATGCATCAGTGTTAGTATCCGAGGAGGTTAAAAGCATTGAATTTTGATAATTCACATAATAGTTTCCTATGACCAGAATATTTAATTGATTATTTATGTGAAAGATGGATCCCATGTCAGGCTTCAACATCCGTCTTGTGTTTACATTACCGCCTAAAGACAGTACCCTGCAGTACAAAAGATGCGGACACCTCTGAAATAACTTTCCTTGCATTAAATCCTTGCTCAAAGCTTTCTCTAGATTACTACGTGCGGAATATCGCATTCTTCAGTTTTAAAATGTTACTGATGAGTGTATAACCGAAAAAATTAGGTGAGACCTGTAATAAATCCCTTTTCAAGTTTATTTCCATTTATGTTTATTTTAAGAATTTATTTTTTTTAAAGTTATTTTGTAAAGAGACTGTTCCCTCTCTTTCAAAAAAGGGTAACTTCCCTTATTCAAAGAATCTTGAAGTAATAACTCCTTTATTGGAGTTAATGTTTTTTAGGTAAAATGTTCAGTGTATATCCTCTTAGTTGACACATATTTCACTGAACATTTTGAACTTGTTTATGTTCACTACAATTAATAACTCCAAAGGAGCTTATAAAATTGCTAAATCTCAGAACAAAATTAAATTTAAAAGAACCTTCTCGATAAAGAGAAAATTTCTGTCCAAAAACTTTATAACACTGCAAACCAAAATAACGGTGTTATAAATAGTTAAACTTTGAATTGAACCTTCTGGCTTAGATATAGTCTTTTAAAGGCATATTACATGATTTGGCAAATTTATACATGGGGCAGAAAATTATGAAAAAAAGGAAACAGACAATAAAGAATAGTACAGTCGTCTCTGCAGTCTCATCCTAATTCTTGGTAACACTGCATAACAACATCATATACATGTACATTTTTTAAAATGTCGTCTTCCTAGTTTAATTAATTGGTTCTACTTCTGTTATAGTACCTGGAATCCTATACGAATAAGAGTATTCTCCTCCGAAGGACCACAGCTTCCAAGAATCTCTGTATTATCACGAGGCTGAGACCTGAATTCAACACTTTGTATAAATTTGTTTGCGTGAATGTGACAATTTCGGTCAAAAGTGCTATCAACGATTTTTATCAAGGTTTGCTACTTACGATCGTAAGTCTCGTAAGTAGCGGCAAAATTCCACATGACGCGTTTAACAATCCGCCGCTAGAATTGTTTAAATAAAATAAAATAAAATAAAAATATATATTTTGCCACATAACAGTATATTTGGAAATACAGGGTGTCCCAATAAACATGGGAATTCGACGAATTCGATATCGTCTTTTAAAATAATTCTTTGATTTAGCATAGTGATACCTACTGAGAAAGCTGTAATCTTTAAGAGTTTTGTCTGCTATGTTCACATTTTGTTTGTTTATGTTTTGACTGCATACGGTTGTACTTAGTAATACAAGAAAATAGCAGTATACAAATATTGTAAACTTGTCCGTCCTCACTGTACATCTTGCGGAGACATTATATAGACACATCTTTGCAGTCTTTTACCCTTTTCATAAAATAAACTCTAGCAGACATGATAATATTATGGCTTTTGAAATTAGGTATTACACTGCTAATTCATGCAAAGACGATATCGATTTCGTCACTGAATTCCCATGTTTTTTGGGACACCCTGTAGATATTTTTAAAAGAACAATTGATTACAGTTTATGGCAATATTAAATGGCAAACCATAAATATTTACAATTAATACTTTGATTTACGCTTGCGAATAATTGACGTCACAATTTCATGATTAAATGATCAAATTATCAAAATATTTTTTTACCAAAAAAATAGAACTTACTTGCAACTCATATCCTCCCAGAATACTCTATCTTCCCCCTAAACCATAAAAATATATTTTTTGCTAGATATTATGTTTTTTTTCTGACCTCTGTATCAGGAGTCCAAACATCAAAAGAACTATCCTCGATACATCTAGAAAAAAAAGTAAGGAAAATAACTTAATACGGAAACATAAGTATGGGGAAAAATCTGAATATCAAACGAATAAAATATAAACGTATTAATCAACAAAATAAAAAAATCTGGGAAACCCATTTTCGCCTTTTTCTCAAAAAGAGTCTTGCAATGTAAAACAATACAATATACAGTCATACCCAAAAATAAACTATTTCAGAGTTTCTGGTTATCACTGTGGATACTAGAAGTAGTGATAATTTGCTTTCCAATGAAAACATCATTTTAAAAAATGCCATGATAAATTTTCCTCCATGGCAAAAATGTTGGAAGTGTATTGACCTGGACCATCCTTCCAAACATTGACGTACATATTATTGAATATATTGACCTGGCGTATTAAATATATTGACCTGGAGTACACATGACCATAATATTATTATATATATTGACCTGGCGTACACATGACCATAATATTATTAAATATATTGACCTGGAGTACACATGACCATAATATTATTAAATATATTAACCTGGCGTACACATGACCATAATATTATTAAATATATTGACCTGGCGTACACAGAACCATCCTCACAAATATTATTAAATATTTTAACCTGGCGTACACATGACCATAATATTATTAAATATATTAACCTGGCGTATACATGACCATAATATTATTATATATATTGACCTGGTGTACACAGAACCATCCTCACAAATATTATTAAATATTTTAACCTGGCGTACACATGACCATAATATTATTGAATATATTGACCTGGCGTACACATGACCATAATATTATTAAATATATTAACCTGGCGTATACATGACCATAATATTATTAAATATATTGACCTGGTGTACACAGAACCATCCTCCCAAATATAATTAAATATTTTAACCTGGCGTACACAGGACCATAATGTCATTGAATATATTGACCTGGCGTATACATGACCATAATATTATTAAATATATTGACCTGGCGTACACAGAACCATCTTCCCAAATATAATTAAATAATTTAACCTGGCGTACACAGGACCATCCTCCCATATATTATCAAATCCAAAACTAGATCCAGGGCAGGACACCTGCATCACCTAGGAAGGATCATTATAAGATTTTTATTAATGTTGTTTTTAATGTTTGTTTTACTTATTTTTTTCATTGTTGTGATGACTGCATTTTATCTTTATTTCCGTTTTCGTCAAATCTGTTGCAAACTTTTGGACAAAGGTTTTGAGCTTATTACTCGTTTTAAAAACTAATTTATCACAAAATTAAGGTTTTTGATATTGCAAAAGCATAGCTCATAGTTCGTCTCATCCTAAGGACTTTTTAATTATACCTTCCATAAAAAGAATGAGGTTATTGAAAATTAACGAAAAGTTTTGTTTATTATAATGTTATTTAAGATAATTCTGTAAAGGAATTGAGTCTTTGCCACAAACTTAGATTTTCTAATCTCTCTTATCTTTGCAACCCAATGTCGTAGACCTTAGTTATTACACACTAGGAATTCTGTTAGATCAAATTATTTAAGTTTAAGATATCAAAGGTTTACTTTCATCATAAGGTTTCAAAGATATAGGGATTATAAAATTAAGTTTGTGGCAAAGACTCAATTCCTTTGTTTTTAAATTTTTTAGAATTAGGACCTTTTTATTAGATGGTAACTTGTATTATCTAATTCATGGTTTTATTAGATGGTAACTTCTATTATCTAATTCATGGTTTAATTAATTAACTACCTCTCCTTGGGGAACTGGTATATTCCTTGATATATCATCTCCTTCAGGTAGAAGAAATGATCCACTCTACAATTATACAATAATTCATCATTGGAGTGCAGTTATTCATCCTGTCATCATCGGAGTACAGTTATTCATCCTGTCATCATCGGAGTACAGTTATTCATCCCGTCATCATCGGAGTACAGTTATTCATCCAATCATCATCGGAGTGCAGAGCCCAAAACTTAAGACAGGGTATCGTTATGAAAACCATTTTTGAAACCCGGGTTTCAGGAATGGGGTTAGGCAGTTTTGTGGATATTTTTGTTATGAAATATTTTTTTTATTTAGTTTCTTCACATTCTCCTTTTTTGTCGAATCTCTTAAATCAAAATCTACAAAATGTTGAGATCTCAAAAAGGAAACTCGGGAGTTACGTTCAACGATACTCTTTTAAATTTCGGGCTCTGTTATACAACTGTTATGGGAGTGCAACATATTGGGGTCAACTCTTCACATTGTAGTTTGTAACTGATCTTTAAAAAATCATGTTCATTATATATTTCTGCAGAGATATGTCAAAGTAAATATAACAACAAAATATTCGAAACATTTCAAATAAAAAAGCGAATGTATCTCTAAAACTGCAAGTTTTGTGTGTGTAAAAAGATAATAAATTGCTATCTTGGAATATTCATTGTCTGTGAATCTGAAAGAAATAAGAAATTATAGTTAAATTTTAAAAAAATCAAAATTAAATTACGAGGTGTGTTGACATGTCCGATTTACAGTGGTGCGCTGTAAACCTTGCCCTGAATAACAATGATGAAGATTTTGTGGTTTATCTCTTTGAAAAAAGTGGAAAACTCAGCTCAGATGATTGGGGTCATTTTTGAAATATTAATATTAATAATATTTACCAGATCTGCCAGAATAGGAGGATATTGGAGTGCTCCATCAATGTTCAAGATACAAACACCAGATTCAACCCGACTAAACACAATAGAATATATACATAAAAGGAGTCGATTCATTTGGTGTACCGTCCTGGTTTGCCTTATAAAATCGTTATGTGTACTGTACCATGCTTGTTCGAGCAGTTTAAAAATGGGTTCGGCACTTGAACTGGAGTTTGCAGTGTCCGATAAGAGATAAATAGTGAAAGTAGTTGAAATAGATGAGAATAGTTTGTTTACTGGAAAAGTATGAGCAGAGGTGTACATGTGTACATGTGTACATGTGTACATGTGTACATTAATACATGTGTACAAGAACAGTATTTTAACTAACTATTCGGTATGACAAGTTAAAATACTTATATCTTTTATTGAAAACTATCTCTGTATAATTTTGGAAAAGGTCTGAGAAAAAGTTACCTCGGAATATAATTCTTGTTAAAGGAGTTGAGTCTTCACAACAAACTTTAATTTTCTAATCCCTATATCTGAGCAACCCAATGTTGTAACCATTTGATATTTCAAACTATGAATTCTATTATCTAAAATAATATAAGTTTGAAAAGTCAAAGGTGTACACTACAAGGTTGCAAAGATTTAGGTATTAGAATATTTGATTTTGTGGCAAAGACTCAGTTCCTTTACTGGCAAAGAGGAAAAACTACAATATGATAGTAAAATAGATTTTACCTATCCTGAGGATTTGAAGATTTTAAAGTATCGTCATTTTTCTTAGCGCCATCCCCGGCTGACCTGGAAAAAATTAATAAATTTAACTCAGTTTACCGTTTTTTGTTGAATTCTCAATAAAACTGCAGTGGTCGGCGTTAATTGAACTTGTTAATTGAACTTGTTAATTGAACTTGTTAATTGAACTTGTTAGGTGAACTCCCTAATTGGCAGCTTCTCTTTGTTTCCATGTTTATGCTTATCCATGCTGTTTTAAAAGCTTGATAGCTGAATCAAAAATTGAAACCGAACGTCGTCTTAATTGTTTTGATATTTATGACGACGACTGTTGCTGGATTTGGGGAAATATAAAGAGTATTTGAAAACCAAATTATTTATATCTCAATCAATTTTGAAAACAGGCTCATGCATGCCAAAATAGTTATATGTATATGTATTTGTAGAGACCCCTTTCAACCTATTAAATGTCCCCCTCCATTTCTTTCTTGTGAGTTGTGATACAAATCTTTAACATTTGGAACATTTTTTAATCGCTTGGGCGGTTGGGCTCTGCTTCGATAATATAAAGAAAAAATGCAAATTTGCAAAAATCCAAACATTTGTTGCAAAATATAGTTAATCCTGAAACGTTTTCAAAAAAATATAACAAATTATACATTTGTGAAAAGCAAATAAGCAAATATTTTGCCAAATTTTCAAAATCTAAATGTTTATTCAAGAAATGCTTATTCAATATGCTTCCTTTTGTTTAAGGCTTTCCAAAGAGCTATAAAATGTTGAAATCCATTAACTGGAAGTAGGTCTAAATATAGATTTAGACTGGTAAAATTAAAATAATGCATTTATTAGTTAGAAAATTCAAAAATTGAACAGCCTCAGGCCAATACTANTCAGTCGGAATAGGGTAGATAATGTATCCAAACCGCAATTCTTTTGCAGGTTTTAGATATGATTGATAAACCCCCCGGTTACCCCTGAACTGTCCCTTAGTATAAAATTTATGTTTATCAAAGTTCAGTTTAATCTCCCTCTGTACTATTACCTGGTTTGAACTGTATACAATAAACTCAATATTATTATAAACCCTCTAAACATATTGTCACCCTTTTATCTCATGTATTGATTTAAACTATTCAGTATTTCACAAAGAAACTGGACATTATATAGCTCAACTGCAAGAGATAAGAATTCTAAATCTTTAACAAATATTGTTCTGTTGTGTTTAAAGATAAAAATCAAACATTTTTTGCCAATACAAAGTTTACTGAAAGGTTGGGTCAAGCACTCAGACGGTTATGTAAGTTCAGTTGGCTTTAGGCAATCTCAACTTTAAAGTGTTACCACGCCTGGTTTTACCTGGTTTTTTAAACTCACATACTTTTTAGTCTCCCTCAGCATATCCAGTTTGAAAAAGCAAAGCGCTTGTTTCTCGCATATGTTTAAAATGAGTAATTGGTAAAATACTGGTCTATTGTTGGGCGAAAGCGTGAACATCTTGGTTAGCAGTGCATGCTGAATATTAGTTTAATACCGTTCATACATCTTTTCATTTGATTTGGACGGATTTATACTTATTTTTTATTTTAATCCATTTAAACTTAATGATATCGTAAACTTTATATCGTTTTTGAATCGTTTTTAAGTATCGAAAACTTTGAGACTTCGGATTTACAAGATGGGGTTTGCAATTTGTGCACCTTCAAATAATTTAACAGAGATCGAAATTTACAAAAGAAATGAGTCTGTACTCTGTGTAACAAAGTTAAATTTTATAATCCGTATATTTTTGCAACCTGATGGTGTAAACCATTTATATTTAAATTTTAGATTATTTGATCTTACAGATATCTAAGGTCTACGATAGTGGGTTGCAAAGATATTGGGAATAGAAAATCAAAGATTGGTAAGAAAACTCAGTTCCTTTGTCCCTAATAAATAAATAAGATCAATTTGTTAATTTGTTAGGATTTACAAGGTAAACCTGATTTCCACAACCAACAAGATCTACAACCATAGACTAATAACAATACAGATATAACACTAGATATCATCTTTTCAAGATTTATGGGTTTTTGTTCACAATAACCCTGAGGCAGAAGCCCAAAGGAGTTACGCGTTGAATTGCAAAACAGAGAGAGAGCCTGTTTTACGCAGCCATGCTCGTAACTCCTTTTGTTTGCCTCAGGGTTATTGTGAACGAAAAACCCATTGAAAAGACGACATATAGTTTGTTATTTATTATTAATGTTATCAATCTTTGTCTATAACCTTTTTTTGCACACTCTGAGTTTATATTTAAGTATTATCAATTATTACCTCAATCAAATATATGAATCAGAATAAAAGTTCTAACATAAAAAATAACCTATTCTTTTAAATATGCCATGCCATCCATGACGCATGGTAACTCTAAAGTTTTACTCTAAGGCTTTTCTAGGCTTTGTCTGATAAGTGCATATTATTATAAACAAAATTCCACGATATTAAAACATGTCATATACAAAACATAGAGTAAATGTCGTCTTGGATTTTAGAAGAATTTGTTTTTGGAACGGATATTTTACATCTTGCTAGTTTTTGTGTACTAGATCCTGTGCTTAAATAGTCTTCTCATGGTCCATATAGCATTAAACCTTAGAAAAACGCTGAGACATCTGGAAGCATGCCTTCAAAAGTTCTGATTCAAAATAAGTCTGTGTTATTAAACAATTTCACCTTCGTCAGTCAAATCTCATCTTCTTTGGCTGATTCGACAATTTACTTACAGAATTAATTTTATCAAAAGGCCTCTTTGTCTGAGTAATTCAAGCGCCAAACAAAAAAGTTAAAATCTTTACTTAAGACTTACATACCTTAAATTTTTTGCATAATTATGCATATTTAAAAACATTTGAAGAAACTCATTTTTGGATTTAAAAAATTGTAATAAATACATGAAAAAAAAAAAAAAATATGGATGCATTGTAATTTGACAAATGAACTGAATAACTTTTGTAAAATTGTTCATTTATTTATAATTTATAGGTTGGACTAGATTATACATATTACATACAGAAGATTTGTGATAGGATATAACAAACATAATAAACATTATTTACAGATCTGTTAGCGAAAATAGATTGGGTTTGGGTCAAATTATTTAAACCTAAGAATTAACTTTTTCATGAAAGTTTGGTTTAACTAAATTATCAAAATAGACATGAAATACAGTTGAAAATTTTAAATTATTTTGCAATATTAAACAAGAAATTAAAGAAAAGGTTTTACGAACCTTTGCAACAGACTTTAATTTTAGTCAAAATTTTAGATCTTTGCAACCCGATGTCTTGGATCTTTGAATTTTGATGTTTTATACTGTGCATTTAGTTAGATCAAATACTCAAAGCCTGAAAAATAACGGGTTTCCAGCCTCAGGTTGCAAAGATTACGGTAAACCGTGATTTAAGTTTTTACAAAAACTCAAGTTACTTTGGTTTTACTCGAAGATTTTTTCGTGAATTATAAAATAAGCATTTCAGCCTTTAAAATTCAAATACTGTAGACAATACAAAGAAATATAATTCTAACCCAGGTGAAGCTAGAATGTGTTAGGAAACTAAGGCCGACCTGAAGTCATTAAAAAATATATTCAGAAAGATCTATTTTATCACTTTCCCTGAACGATTGAAATTTAGTTATGGCAAAGAAAAATTTTATGACGCTACTGTTGCATTACTCTTTTCTGCGCAAATAAGTAAAAATATCTTTGAAGGTCGTCGTTTCTCATCTAATTTTTCTGAATCTACCATACTTGGAAAAAAAGAGATAGAAAGTGTCAATATGTTTTTTTACATTGAGGTTTTGTCGAGGGATTTGAACTGAAAATAACATGTTTTTATTATAAAGTACATTTGAATATTTACTAAAAACTAGAATAATGACATAAAGAGAGGTTTTATAAATTTAGTTTATATACATATATATAGATAAGCTTTTGCGAGCTGCCGTTTGTGAAAAGTGCAACAGATAGGAGAGTATATAGGGTTTCCATTCCCGGATCAATTTGGTTTCGTAAAACCATCACGTTACCTTACTTGAAGATGTCAAGATTTAAAACCGATTGGAAACTTTTTAAATGTAAGGGCGGACATTGGAATCTTTCTTAACCGCATTAGAATGAATCTACCTCCTATAGATGCCACAAAAAGCTAGGTGTAACATGCTCAATAAAATTTCTGGGACGATTATTTAGGATAAAGTTTATATGTAATAATAGTCCCAAATTTAAAGAATTTGAGCCGAGGCTTAGATTTAATTCAAACATGGTTGGTTCCACTTAAAATTGTATTCAATTTTTCAATATATAATCCGGCGCTCAATTGAAACCGGTTTTGGGGGATTTGAGACGCAGCTTAAATTCCTTAAATTCGGACACTTTATTTTTTTCAGTATTTCACACCTAGCTTTGTGTAGCATCTAGGGGTGGAATTAATTTCCAAAAGTTTCAATGATTTATTATTCTTAACAGTTTCAGGAAAGGTTCCGTGAGACCTCTATGGGATTAAATTTTTCTGAAAAAAATGGAATCCCTAAATATAAGAAGTGAGAAGTCAACCCCGGGGTATAAATACTTTTAAATACTTCGATTTTGTTTGAGTTGTAACGAAAGAACGTTGAACAATAATCCGGAAGGATTTGACCCTTATATTAACAAATAACATTTTGGTGTTTACGTTTGCAAGAACAGCTTTCAAGTGGTTTTCTCTTTTCGGTTTATCATTGATTCGTCAGAATAGTTTGTAATAAGGTAAATGAGATTTGTTCCCCAATTTTAAAACAGTTTGTTTAAAATAGCAATTTCTCGTCATGGTTCTACAATAACAAGGATTTTTGTTTTTTGAGTACAAAACCAATTTAGCTGATTTGATTTTGTGCTCTTCTACTTTAAATAATAAGAAGGATCTATATTAATTCTCTAATCATTTGGCTTCATTGAAACTCTCCTAGATTTTCCTAATAGACAAGTGTATCCTCGTTTTCTAGACTTTCTTTAGCTGCTTTTAAAATTTCTTTTATTTCAATAATTTCTGTATCTTTTTCTTTATCTTGTTTCTATATCTTCTTTGTTTATTTCTCTCGACTCTTTTATTTCTTCTAGGTCATTTTCTGTAGATTCTTTGGATTCTATTTTTATGTCGTCTTCAATACTGAAAGTGTCGTTTTCCTTGTCTTCATTATTTTCGTTTCCTAGTTCTTCTTCTCTATAGATATCTTCCACAACTTCTGCTGTATCAGAATCAGTATTGTCAAAATGTTGAATATCATCTCCTTTTATTTTCTCAGCACATTCATCAAGGTCTAATTGTGTCTCAGAGCATTCAAATTTAGCATCATTCTTTTCAAGTTTTGTTTCTTCAGATGCTAGACTTTGATCAGTTTTATATTCCTTTAACTTCTCGCAGTCCTTTGTTTTGCTTTCTCTTTCGTGTTCAGATTCAAATTCTTTTCCTTCTTCAGTATTGTTGGTTTTTGACTTGTCTTCCGAATCTGAAGGTTTAGTTGATAGTTCTTCTAATTTAGCATTGGTTTCACCCTCATACAGAGTTGGTGGATTTATTAGATATTCCTTGTCTGGGTTTATAGGTTCAACCCACTCCTCCTCGGATATATTGTAAGAAATTGATAAATCAAGAACGAACTCCTTATCTCCCTGCGGAACTTGTTGATGATGGTAGACCTGGTCAAGATAGTTTAGTTCTCTGACTCCAAGACCACGGGTTGGAGGGATCAGGCTTATCAAAGATGGAATATAAACAGAGGTGGTCATTGTTTCTTCACTATCAACATTTTCCGACCAATCTTTGGAGGAACCTAGTTTTTGGTTTGCATAAACAGTTGGACGGTCCAGTGGATTAGAGGTAAATTCTTCCTTTTCTTTTCCTTTCCTTCTTCCATCTTCGTCCTCTTGATCATCTTCCCTTCCACATTCTTCTTCTTCCTCGCATCTACTTTCTTCCTCCCTTTCTATTCTTTCTTCTCCTTTTTCCTTTAATTCTTCGGAGAGATTAGTTTTTCTTTCTTTTGATCTATTTGGTTCTACAGGCAGATTTAAACCTAAAATGAAAAATTCTGTTACAAAATACCTTTAACTTAGGAAATAATGCTGAGTATACCCTTTTTCTGGATTCTCAACAATACCTCTTTATTTTGTGTCTGATTCACAATGATTAAATGTCGACTTTTTTATATTTCTACAGCATAATTCCGCAAGTTATTTTAAGAAGAAAACTAAAGTGAAAAAAAGGTTTGTTTCCTGAACAGAAAAAGGTTTTAAGGGTAACGTTGTGAATCGAACATGTACTTATATAAATTCAGAAAAATTGCGATCCCTTAAACCCCAGTCTTGTGGTTCATTCTTAATCCCATCTTATCTTCATAAACTCCATGAACAATCACTGAAACTCTGTAAAGTTGGTGTAAGAACAAGAGAGTTCAAGTCTTTGAAGAAACATAAAATAAATAAAGCTTATTAGAATGCTTCAATTTAAGTATACTCGATATTATTCATCAATAATTTTGATATTTTTAGAAATTTCAACATTTTTCATTTTATCCAATATTCCTTATTTTCAATCTATTAGATTTTCAGAGAAATGTTATTTATAACTTTAGAGATCACGTTGTTGTTTAAATATCAAAAAACGTGATTTTTTTCTACCATAGCTAAACTTTTTGTTTGTTTTTATGAATACAAGTATGATAAATGGTTCTTAATGTTTGTGAGGTTATTAAAGCTAGCTCATGTAATTCTAGGGCTCAGACACAAAAAAGAAGAGTTACAATAGCTGGGGCGTCTGAATCTATGTATAGCTGGGAGGGGCATTTGGCGCCCCCCCCCCCTAGAAAAAGACTTTAGAGAATAGGTATAGGGTTGAAATGCATGTTCATAGCACATTTTTTTAAGGCCAGACCACAGAAAAAAGTAGACCAATAACTTTAATAGTTTGGGTGCATAGGGAGGGTTGAAAAAAATGCTTAACAATGGGTAAAATAGTGAGAAATTTTTTTTTTGTTTTTAACTACTATCAAAGTGTGACACATGTTTCCAAGGGTTTCCAAGGGTTTTTTTAAAATATAGTTTTTATATCTGTAGCTATAGTCACAAAAATGTTATGGGCTATTTTAGATTTTTTTTCACAGACCAGACTTTTTTCTGCCCTGTACCCTATACCCTGTAAATTAAAAAAAATATTTAAAGATCCTTTAAATTACGATTCAAAAAAATTAACGGCGATTGTGTCAAAAAGGAGAGTGCTTGGACAAAAAAAAACTACAGGGGAGCCAAACGCCCCACCCACCCCCCAGCTTGTTAAGGGTTAAGTTTGAAAAGTGTTTAGTTCTGATAATTCCTACACACGAACGATCAATATAATACCTGGAAGATCACAGATTAAGATTGGCTCTTGAAGATTTTTTCTACAATTACGTCCATCTCTCTCTTCCCTTCAAACAAATAAACATTAGATTCAACTTTTATTTATATAACAAGAGTTATGCAAAAAACTAATGTGAAACATTAAGGAATTGAACACCGGTCCAAAAATCTATTTTTTAGCAACCTAAAGTAGAAAGAAAACCTTTGATATTTCAAAATTTAGCCATATATATAATAGTATTCAAAGTTTTAAAACATCCCTATATCTTGTCTATCTGATGGGTTAGATCAAATATAGAACATTAAAGTATGTAGGTTGCAAAGGGAATAGAAAATGAGAGTATGAAGCGAGTGTTCAGCTTTAAATACGTTTTTTCAACGAGAAAAGTACATATAATTTACTCTATAAGGGTCTTGTCACGACAGTTTTAAGAATATACATTTCACTTCATTACTTTATCTAAAAGTATATAAAAATAGACTCTAATCAAATATTTTTTGTTTACAAGAAGTTAATCTGCGATTACTTTTCCTTCGTATCTACAATATAAGGAAAAAAAATGAAAATTCTTAGATTTTTCTGTTTTCATTGGTGAATTTCAAAAAGAAATTAAAATGACTCTTTCACACAAACAAACCAACAAATAGATACAAGCCAATTATAAATTTTAATGAATATTATTTGAGTGTTAGCTCGGTGGTTTACTTTACCTTGTCTCTAAACCTGAAAATAGCAGATGTGTTGGAATAGTTGCTCCGCCTCCGCCGTTAGCGTCAACGCCTTCCATCTCATGAAGTAGGTGGGCAATAGTTGTTCCGCCCTCTCCGCCAGTTTCTCCGCCCTTTATATCAGGAATTAGGCCAGATATTGTTGTCACAGAAACCTCCTAATTATGAATTAAGTTTATAATTAATATTTGTCCGCCATGATGATGTGCTCTAAACTTGAAACCTTATTGAAGCAGTTATTTATGAAACTAAAATAACCCTTATTTATCATTATCGATCTTGATATCCATTGTGACATCTTTTAAATTTCAGGATAATTTTCTTGAATCTTGTCCTATAGTTCCGACGATAGAATGTTCAGAAGAAATTAAACTAATCCTTCGGACGAAAAAAGATATGGATAACTTCTTAATCCCAGAACCAATTCACAGCCAAAAAGTAAAGACTTCTGCAGTTCATAGAAGGGAAAGAAGATGCCTCTTGCACAAAGTGTTTCATGACCTTTATATTATTTGTTTCCTTAGCTAAACTAAGCACATTTGGTTAAACCTAAATATTTATTGTTACTGCTTATTGTTTTATGCGTGCATAAATTCCAAATAAAGAGGGTGTGCCCATGCACAGATAAATAAAGATATCTATAATCATGTTTATTCGCCCAGCTGTCCGAGTATTTTGAATTTAGTTACCCTTCAGAAACCGAAATTGTGTGTCTTTAAACCTGTTACTTAAGCTTTTTGGACGATTCACTTCCCTCTGAACGGTTCAACCTCAATGTTCCTCGAGTTAAATCTCAAATTAAAAGTGTGTGCAAAGGATATGGATTTCAGTCGCTAAAGCTATACAACTTTTTTTCTCAGCTGAGGAAATCATTTCTTGGATCAACAGCAGAAAAGTAAGGATCGACCTCCGAACTAGTTTAATGTTGATCGCGACACCACCCTATACTAAATAAAGGTTTTTTCGATCTAATTAACACTGATAAATGGGGTTTCTTGAACACTCCCACTCCCTTTAAAGGGACTGTAAACGTAATTTTGAGTGCCTTTTCATTAAAAGAAGGGCATACCTGATTCACAACGGTAAACCCTTGACTGATCAAGAATGACAGACGTTTCCTGATTTATCAAGAAAAGTTTGTTTGCAAGCTGTTTTATAGTGAAGGAATATATCAGCATGCCCTTTCAAGAAGTGGCAGGATATAGATATCAACATTTGATAGCGTAGGATATAGAATATTCTAGGAGTGGCAGGATATAGATATCAACATTTGACCGCGTAGGATATACAATATTCTAGAAGTGGCAGGATATAGATATCAACATTTGATAGCGTAGGATATAGAATATTCTAGAAGTGGCAGGATATAGATATCAACATTTGATAGCGTAGGATATAGAATATTCTAGGAGTGGCAGGATATAGATATCAACATTTGATAGCGTAGGATATAGAATATTCTAGGAGTGGCAGGATATAGATATCAACATTTGACCGCGTAGGATATAGAATATTCTAGATTTTCCAGGAATAAACGTGACCTCATTTGTGTTCGCACGGCACACTAGTGTATATTCTTCAATTTTACGGCTTTTATGAGATATTTTGACTGAGATTTCTGTCCTCGGTTATCAGACTTAAACTTAAAAGGAAGGTCACTTAAAGTTACGCTTACAGTCATTTTAAGACTTTATACACACTCTTTACATGTTTAATTACCTGCTGAGAAGGAGATGAAGAAAGTTGAATAGTTTGTGTTAAGGAGAACTGATTATGAAGAAGAGAAGGATAGGGCAAATTCAAATCTTAACAATAATTTTATATTTCACTAGCTTAAGTGCCCGGCATTGACCCTGGGATAAAAAAATTGAATTTTTTAGCCTATATTTCCCCCGGGATACCTGGGTTCCCTCAAAAAAGTTCACCCCATTCGGTCCAGCCGTTTGGCCGGCTTTAGGGAACATATATACGAATGTCTTGTTTTATAAAATAAATTATTATATAGATAATTTAATGCAACTAATTACAAATCATCGGTATTTGAAGTCACTAAACCAGGATATAAGTCGTTTTTGTTGGTTGGCCCTATTTTATTACAGGTTTATATATACGCTTTTACCTGTATGCTTAGAATATTGTTCAGATCCTCGTTCTGTAGATTTTAAACCCTGTTCATTCATTAATCTGGGTTTAGTTCTTTCATTTCTCTCAGTCTTTGGTCTTTCAGTTCTAGGTTCTCCGGGTCTTGGTTTATCCGTTCTTGTTTTATTAGTTCCAGGGTTCTCTATCCTGCTTTGCTCTGTATTTTGCTCCGTCTCAGTATAATTTGGTAGATTAGCTCTCCCCTCCTGCCAAACCTGAGATAATAATACAGACTTATCAGAATATCACGGAGATATCCAACCCGCACTTAGGGTTGCACCAGAGTTTAAACTTAAACCAACAAGCTCTGGGTTAGCTCAGAGTACCAATTTAAACTGGTGATATCCAACCCGCACTTAGGGTTGCACCAGAGTACCAATTTAAACCGGAGATATCTAACCCGCACTTAGGGTTGAACCAGAGTACCAATTTAAACCGGAGATATCCAACCCGCGCTCAGGGTTGCACCAGAGTACCAATTTAAACCTGATATATCCAACCCGCACTCAGGGTTGAACCAGAGTACCAACTTAAATCGGAGATATCCAACCCGCGCTCAGGGTTGGACCATGAGTTATCAATTTAAACTGGAGATATCCAACTCAATCAGGCTTAGGGGTAGGCCACAGAATTCCTTGAAACCGGAGCACAAACTCCACTTTGAGTAAGTCCCAAATAGCAATTGAATTCGGAGATATCCAACCCGCTCAGAGAGTAAGACCAGAGTATCATTTGAACCCGGAGCAACCCAAACCCCAATAATATAATATCATAAAAAGTTTCAAAGATACCTTGGTATTGTAAGTCTCCTGAATCCAGGGAAGAATAGAACTCCTTTCATAATAACCTCCTGAATTTTAATGATTATAAAAAATCAACATCCACTAGAATTCAGATTGTGTTTTAAAAAAAGTGAACATAATAAAAAGATGTCTCAGTGCAATTAATAAAGTAAGACAAATCATCAACTTTTAATTCTTTTCCTACAAACTTATAATTAATTTACCATTAATGAATGTTCAAAATTACACTGTATTAAATACCTTGGTTCACAATTGAAGAGCCTACAATATCTGATAATGAGTCCGTTCCAGAGTGCAAATGCTCCTCTCTAGAGCGAAGGGACTCCGTTGCAGAGTGTAAATGCTCCGCTCTGGAACGAAGTGAGTCCGTTCTTGAACGATCAGATCGAAGTTCCAGGTTCGATGTACTCAGAGGTAGAAGAACGGGAAGAACTAAACTCGATCTATAAAAAATTAAATAAAGAAAGTATAAGAATAATCAAATAAATTGTTAAATACGTCTATAAAAACATAATAGGTAAAATTTTGCAAATAGAGTAAATCTGAGGAATTATTGCTTGAAATAAGGGTTAGATAAGAGTCCTTGTTAGGAAGATAGTAATATGAGAAATTGTTAACTCAATCCCAATTAAAAATAAACAATATATAGATAAACACATTTCATTGGATTTCCTAACTAGTAAAAGCTGGCTTAGTAAATTCTGTATTCTGTTTGGAAACACAAACTCCCAAGAGAGAAAGCAGTTACTTTCAATTTGAATCGTTAAATTTACACAAGCCATTAATTTTAAATATTTAGTTAAAAAATAGGGATTTTCTAAAAACAACGCGTGAATATTAATCTGTCATATCCAAGATAAAGGGCAAAAATTTATTTTGTATTTTTCAACTCCAAGTATTTATTTTATGTTTTTTAATAAACTTTAACGTAGAACAATTCGATGGTTCCAATAATTTTGTTTATTGATAAGAAAAAAATAAGAAAATCATTAGCGTAGGGTTTATATCTAATTGAAAACGGATAATACACTTTAGGAATCAAATAAAATTTTGATTTATTTTCCAATCCGAAGTTTTAAGCAATCTGATATCGTAGATACCTGCATCCATCCTGAGCTTGTATTAAACCTATACCTGGATCCATCAGCTGAGCTTGTAATAAACCTATACCTGGATCCATCAGCTGAGCTTGTAATAAACCTATACCTGGATCCATCAGCGGAGCTTGTAATAAACCTATACCTGGATCCATCGGCTGAGCTTGTATTAATCCTATACCTGGATCCATCAGCTGAGCTTTTAATAAACCTATACCGTGAACATCAGCAGAGCTTGTAATAAACCTATACCTGGATCCATTAGCTAAGCTTATAATAAACCTATATCTGGATCCATCAACTGAGCTTGTAATAAACCTATATCTGGATCCATCGGCTGAGCTTGTATTAAACCTATACCTGGATCCATCAGCTGAGCTTGTAATAAACCTATATCTGGATCCATCAGCTGAGCTTGTAATAAACCTATATATGGATCCATCAACTGAGCTTGTAATAAACCTATATCTGGATCCATCGGCTGAGCTTGTATTAAACCTATACCTGGATCCATCTGCTGAGCTTGAAATAAACCTATATCTGGATCAATCAGCTGAGCTTGTAATAAACCTATATCTGGATCCATAAACTGAGCTTTTAAATGAACCTATACCTGGACACATCAGCAGAACTTCCTATACCTGGATACATCAGCTGACCTTGTAATAAACCTATACCTGGATCGACCAGCTGAGCTTGTAATAAACCTATACCTGGATACATCAGCTGAGCTTTTAAATGAACCTATACCTGGACACATCAGCTGAGCTTGTAATAAACCTATACCCGGATCAATCAGCTGAGCTTGCATTAAACTATATCTGCATCCATTCTGAGCTTGTAATAAAGCTATACCTGGATCAATCAGATCAGCTTGCATTAAACCATACCTGCATCCATCCTGAGCTTGTAATAAACCTATACCTGGATCAATCAGCTGAGCTTGTAACAAACTTATACCTGGGCAAATCAGCTGATTTTGTAATAAACCTATACCTGGACACATCAGCTGAGCTTGTAATAAACCTATACCTGGATCCATCGGCTGAGCTTGTAATAAACCTATACCTGGATCCATCGGCTGAGCTTGTTGCAGGAATATCAAATTCTTTTCCTGGTTTCCTCGCTTCTATTATAGCTTTCTGCTTCTGGATCAGGATATCTATCGGTAGATCCTAAACAAATAGATCTAGATCAGGAGATCTATCGGTAGATCCTAAAAAAATAGATCTGGATCAGGAGATCTATCGGTAGATCCTAAATAAATAGATCTGAATCAGGATATCTATCGTAGATCCTAAACAAATAGATCTGAATCAAGATATCTATAGGTAGATCCTAAACAAATAGATCTGTATCATGATATCTATCGGTAGATCCTAAATGAATAGATCTGAATAAGGATATCTATCGGTAGATCCTAAACAAATAGATCTGAATCAGGATATCTATCGGTAGATCCTTAACAAATAGATCTGAATCGGTAGATCCTAAACAAAAAAATCTGGATCTTTAAATATCAAATATGTTTGTTATGCTTCAGTCTGCTACTACTGCAGTATAGAGAATATATATTGCTCTGTTGGCGAAAAGTGTAATTCTGGAAAGGAACTGCGTGAAACATCAAAATACGCAATTAAGAGTTTATTAAGCTTCGCATCACACTTAACATTTACATATTGGGTAATAAACAGGGTTTTTATGTTTGTTTGTTTGTTTGTACGATCATAACTCAGAAAACCTTTGACCAATTTGCATCAAATTTTAAATTTGGGAACCGCTGGAATATTCTGGTTTGTTTTAAAAGCTCTAAGTTGAGTTGGTGAACTTTTTTTTGAACATTTCTAGTTTCTAGACAAACCTACTTGTCAAAAGAACTAAATATAAAAAGTTCTGATGAATTTTCTTTGTATATTTCTAAGTAAGCCAAAACTAGACTGGATTAGAAATATAGTTAAAGGTATTGTAAGTCTAAGCTCTGTTAAGATGTATTGTTCAACTGAAACTAGACAAAAATAGAAATAATAAATCTTGTTCCCAGAAATATATATTATATATATATCAGTATAACTGCAGGTAGAATTATAATAAAAGTTTTGGGAAACATAAAATAGTTACTGATTGTTTGAAATTTAATTTTATAGTGACGTTTTTTGCTTCCGAGGTACCCATATGCACATCGTACCATGCACATGGTGGTATATCATGGCTGACACAAGTGAAATGATAATGTTATTGTTTTGCAAGTAAAAAGAAAAGCTAAAGTTAGTATGTTCTGTTTTCAAGGCATAAAGAACCAGAGGTACTAATCGAATTTAACAATAGAAAAGCATAGTATTTGATTTACCCGTCTATTTGTTTGTTTTTATACAAAAAACGTCTGAACCGATTTTTGTGTCAACTCATGTCACATAACCCCAGGGTACGTTTATGGCCAGTCGAAAAAAATTTTGTGCATATTAAAATCTTTAATTTTACTGTGCACTCTACATTAAATTTAACAAACCTATATCTGTACACAGTACAGTGTACAGTAAAGCATTTGTACCTGTACACTGTACAGATTACAGTCAAGTATTTGTACCTGTACACTGTACAGATTACAGTGAAGTATTTGTACCTGTACACTGTACAGTTTACAGTAAAGCATTTGTACCTGTACACTGTACAGTTTACAGTAAAGTATCTGTGCCTGTACACTGTACAGTTTACAGTAAAGTATTTGTACCTGTACACTGTACAGTTTACAGTAAAGTATTTGTACCAGTACACTGTACAGTTTACAGTAAATTATTTGTACCTGTACACTGTACAGTGTAAAGTATCTGTGCCTGTACACTGTACAGTTTACAGTAAAGTATTTGTACCTGTACTACTATTATCCTGTTGTATGCCTTCCATTTTCTACACAACAGCAAATATACCTGAACACATTTCACATCACAATAAACCTTTAATAAATCTATTATTTGCATAAAGTGATAACCCTAAAACTCTGAAATAGTAAGACGACTTTTGGACTCAACTTATGACTTTAAACAGTCCAATGAGCATTGGATACAGCAAATGTACAGTGTAAAAACATCCATTTTACTTAGTTAGAGATTTTATAAGTGTCGAGTAAAACTATTTGCTTTGTTACAAGATCAAATACACTTCAGTATTACTATAAAGTCGTCTTCCTTTTTCAAAGTTTTCAGGTTATCACTGTAACATTTAAAGATTGTACTATAATTTTTTCTAATAGCAAGACATTTTCAGAAAAGAATGATTTTTGAACAATTATCTTCTAAAACTAACGTTCGACACAGGTCTGAATGGAGTTAAAAAATTTACTTTTTTCTTGAGGTATTTAATCAAAACAAAGACGACATTGTTTTAAAACTAACCTTGCATTGTATATACATAAAGACGAGTCCCCCTGTGAATCCTATTGCAACAACTACAAGTTTAGTCCAGAAAGGCCAGGCAAGCTCTCCAGTCTGTATCTCTTCAGTAGTCCTAAAATACAAGGATATTCAGTAGTCCTGAAATACAAGGATATTCAGTAGTCCTGAAATACAAAGGTATTCAGTACTCCTGAAATATAAGGATATTCAGTAGTCCAGAAATACAAAGGTATTCAGTAGTCCTGAAATACAAAGATATTCAGTAGTCCAGAATTACAAGGATATTTAGTAGTCCTGATATACAAGGATATTCAGTAGCCTTGAAATACAAGAACATTCAGTAGTCCTGAAACACAAGGATATTCAGTAGTTCTGAAATACAAGAATATTCAGAAGTCCTGAAATACAAGGAAATTCATTTTGTCCTGAAATACAAAGGTATTAAGTAGTCCTGAAATACAAAGGTATTTAGTAGTTCTGAAATACAAAGGTATTCAGTACTCCTGAAATAAAAGAATATTCAGTAGTCCTGAAATACAAGAATATTCAGTAGTCCTAAAATATAAGGATATTGAGTAGTCCTGAAATACAAGGATATTCAGTAGTCAAGAATATTCAAAGCACTCTTATAATAGGATTTTGTCCCCTTATTTATTTTCAGGAAATCTTTTTTGCGTTTAACCATTTTTACTTATATGGGAGTGGGACACACAAGCACAATCAAACAATAAATATATTTGTCTGTATACTCGTAAATATAAATGGTTTATTTCTGTATGTGTAAAGTTTGGCTAGGCCTGCATGCCTGGGCTTTCCATGCAACAGTGCATAAATCGATCCTTAGTGGAAACCAGACCTAGATAATCTAGCATACTTAAACCTATAATACAGACCTAGATAGTCTAGCATGTTTAAACCTAAATACAGACCAAGATAATCTAGCATGTTTAAACCTAAATACAGACCTAGATAATCTGTCATACTTAAACCTATATACAGACCTAGATAATCTAGCATACTTAAACCTAAATACAGACCTAGATAATCTAGCATACTTAAACCTATATACAGACCTAGATAATCTAAGATAATTAAACCTATATACAGACCTAGATAATCTAAGATAATTAAACCTATATACAGACCTATATAATGTATCCTAGATAATCTATCATACTTAAACCTATAATACAGACCTAGATAATCTAGCATACTTAAACCTATAATACAGCCATAGATAATCTAGCATGCTTAAACCTATATACAGACCAAGATAATCTAGCATACTTAAACCTATAATACAGACCTAGATAATCTAGCATACTTAAACCTATAATACAGCCATATATAGTCTAGCATGTTTAAACCTAAATACAGACCAAGATAATCTAGCATGCTTAAAACTTTATACAGACCTAGATAATCTCTCATACTTAAACTATATACAGACGTAGATAATCTAGCATACTTAAACCTAAATACAGACCTAGATAATCTAGCATACTTAAACCTATATACAGGCCTAGATAATCTAGCATACTTAAGCCTATATACAGACCTAGATAATCTAGCATACTTAAACCTATATACACACCTAGATAGTCTAGCATGCTTAAACCTAAATACAGACCAAGATAATCTAGCATACTTAAACCTATATACAGACCTAGATAATCTAGCATACTTAAACCTATAATACAGACCTAGATATTCTAGCATGCTTAAACCTATATACAGACCTGGATAATCTATCATACTTAAATCTATAATACAGACCTAGATAATCTAGCATACTTAATCATATATAAAGACCTTGATAATCTAGCATACATAAACCTATATACAGGCCTAGATAATCTAGCATGCTTGAACCTATATACAGACCTAGATAATCTAGCATACTTAATATATACAGACCTAGATAATCTATCCTAGATAATCTAGCATACATAAACCTATATAAAGACCTAGATAATCTAGCATACTTAATCATATATACAGACCTAGATAATCTAGCATACTTAATCATATATACAGACCTAGATAATCTAGCATACTTAATATATACAGACCTAGATAATCTATCCTAGATAATCTAGCATACATAAACCTATATACAGGCCAAGATAATCTATTTCTAGCATAAATAAATCTTTAAAATTTAGAAGTTTAAGTATCTCACAAAAAGTCTTAATATGATTTGGTATGAAAATTTGATATATATTTTTTTAACGAAGACAAATGGTGTTTGGTGTATTGAAGAGATTGAAATCATAGACAAAGAAATTGTCACAAACTCCGATTTTATAATCCCTAAATCTTTGCAAATCTTTATTGTAAACCTTAGAATATTTCAAACTATGAAATCTTTTGGATCAACTAATTTTAGCGTTAAATATCAAAGGTTTGCACGGTTGCACCATCATGTACTAAAGATAATTGAATTTTTTCTCAATATCACTGATGCCAATACCCTACAATGTAAATATAATGAAATTAATGTATTTTGCTTTTACTCTGAACCAAATATGAAATGATTTAAACAAATCCTTAAAATAAATATTTCTCAGAAATTGTTAAATGGAATGTATGATATCTTGAAAACAATATTTTACTTACAACAAACTTTTAATCTATCTACACTTTTACTAAAAAATATATTTTGGCTGATATTAGAACTGAAGCAACCCGGCCCAATAAATGGTAAAATTATCGAATTTTATGAAACTTACAATTTCTATTGAATATTCCCCACAGTTAAACATTTAAGATCGCTTTGACGAGCAAAATATATGATACGATCGTCATTCGTCACTCACGAATCCCTTAACCGAGTTGCCTCAATTTTTGAAAAAATATTATTTGGTGTGATATTTCTTTAGCCTAAGCTGGGTTCCATACCTGTCTATAAGAACGTAGAGCGACCAAATAACACATGTGATCGCGATCACATGAAATGTGACGGAGCACAATAATTTCCTCCGTTCGAGGGTACTCATGTCTAACCGCTCCCACTGTCGGAAAGGTTTGACCTAGATTGTACATATTATCATTGCAACCTGATGTCGTAGACATTTAATGTTTTTAATGCATTTTCTTAGATAAAAGAGCATATTTATGATTACACCTCAGGGACCGAATTTAATGAATTAGAGCTACAACATCGCTGATCTATTTACTCCCGACTCAAATTTGAACCACTGAGATCAAGGAAGGATTTGAATCTCTGGGATTCTTCTTTATTCCGGTGGTAGGTTTAATAGGTATAGTTCAAATTCATTCAATTGGGTCACAGGTTGCAAAGATATATATTTTGTGGCGAGTATTTTATTCCTAAATCCATTTTTGATGATTTAAATAAACGATTAAAAAGCACTAATAAAAAAACAGAACCAATTCAAATGCAACTTTTATATCAAAACCTTTTGGAATTGAATAATTTTGAAATATTTTTTTATTTTAAACATTTCTTAGAATCATTATTTTAATTAAAAGTTTTTATCAACTTTTCTAATTAAAATCTAACCTTGGACTGCATAATAAAAGGGAACTTGCAAAGTTCGCACTTTTTTATATCCGAACTTTTTATCCATCTTTGCAAACATTCCTGGGGGGCAAGGTAGAGATAGAAATTAATGGTTTATGGGTTCGCGTTTTTATATTATAAAGATCATCATGAACCATGGAATAAAGAATTAGAAAGTTTAAACAAATAGAAATAAAAAATGTGAAAAATTTAATTTTATTTGTATTCCCTTTCAATACAAATCTTGATACTTTTACCCCCCCCCCCCTCACTACTTAAACCCTTCGTCGTTTTGGAGTTCCATTCAAGCTATTAGAGAAAAGAAAATACAAAAATTCGATGAACATCAAAGTAAAACAAGAAAGAAAAAACTTTCAAATCAAATATTTAAACTAAACTTATATTTAAATGAAAAGTTGTAATAATATTTACTTTTATCAGATTAGAATTTTGAAAAAAAAATTGATAAAAGCACAGTGATCTAAAGGTTGGAAGCTCTCACAAAAAACTCTTTGATAATTATGCCAATTACTTCTCTAAAACTAAATCTGAAAAAGTGCTTTGTAGTTTTGAGACGTCACATGTCTAGGGCTACAAATTTGAGTTATAGTGAAGTAAAATCAAAGGTCGAAGCGTTGTGACACTTTAAAGTCGATCCAGTCTTGAAAACTGATACAATTTTCACAGTAATCTGGATCTATGTGAAGAGAAGTTTGCCTCACCTTAGATAAAATTTGGAAAATGATAAGATATTTTATATTGACAGTTTTCCCGTTTATCAAACTAAATTTATTCAAAATTCAGGTTTATGATCAAACTATGGATACAGTTTGCACTAAAATATTTAATTTTATAATTTACAACGTTAAAGTTATCGAAGGGTGTCTTAAGATGAGCATTGTTTTGTGGTTCGTTTTAATAAAACTTTATAGGTTTATTTTTTTTAAGAGGCTTCCAAGAACCTAAAATGTTTATCAATTCTCAAAAAGCATATTTTAATTGCAAAGTGAAAAATTAACGTTTTCAAAAATAAATATTAATCATAACGATTTATCAAAACGGTTTACTTTACGTTTTTATTTTTCGTTTATTTTTATTATTATTATTATCATTATTATTATTATTATTATTATTATCATTATTATTACTAGTATGCCGTAAAATCTTGCAAAATCATGCAAAAGATAATAATTGTTTTAAATAAAAAAAAAACTTAAAATGTTACCCATCTTAGAAATCGTAAATGGTGATCGAATGTTTGAAAAAGGAAGAGGGCTCAGTAACATTTGCCATAATACTTTTGCCATAAATTTATTTGCCATAATTACACTTACCCTAATTACACTTGCCATATTTACACTTGCCATAAATACTTTTGCCATTAGTAACACTTGCCCTAAGTTACACTTGCCATAATAGTTATTTTAAAGACATATAAATAAATATAGATGTGAAATTATGGCAAGTGTAACCATTATGGCATGTATAACTTATGGTAAATGTAATTTATGGCAATTGTAACATATTTCAAGTTAATTAGGGCAAAATTATTATGGCAAATGTAACTAACACAGAAAGAGAAAACGATGCCCATCTGAAGTGAGGAAACGATGCCCATCTGTAGTGGGAAAACGATGCTCATCTGTAGTGGGAAAACGATGCCCATCTGTAGTGGGAAAACGATGCCCATCTGTAGTGGGAAAACGATGCCCATCTGTAGTGAGAAAACGATGCCAATCTGTAGTGGGAAAACGTTGCCTATCTGTAGCGGGAAAACGGATGCCCAGCTGTAGTAGGAAACCGATGCCCAGCTGTAGTGGGGAAAAACATGTTTTAATGTTGTATCTCTAGCTGCCTGGTGTACATATTTCAAGCTTCCACTACACAAACATGGAGTTATCAAAGGAGGATCTCCAGCCTTCAACACAAATAAACAAATTATATTAGATTCGTTTTCGGATTAATAAATTCATTTAAAACGATAAAGGGGCTGTTGACGTAATTTTAACCTTAAACAGGCATTTGGCANAATTTAGAAACATGTTTTAAAACAAAATAATACTTTTGACATTTATTTGACCTATTTTTGGCATTTTTTTTAACCTGCCAGATCACTCAAACTATAAATGTTATCGATCTAATTTTTTTTAAGAGTTGGCATTGAAAAATTGGGCAATGAAGATGCATTTCAATCCTATACCTATTCTCTAAGGCCTTTTTGTAGAGGGGGGGGGGCGTTCGACGCCCTCCCCCAGGCTATAAATAGATTCAAACGGTGGCTTTAGTAGCTTTGAATGATCCGAAATGAATAAGATATCAATAATTTTAACTTTGAAAATGGATTTTTTAATTCAAAAACGAGGATAAATTACTCATTATCATTTAGACAAAGGTTAAAAGGTTAACTTGGGCCCCTATTTGAATAAATGGTTAACTGAAATTATAACGACAGTTCCTTCAAATAGAATAGATTTGGTGGTAGTGGAGGTTTTTATACAAGTGTATAGACTAGAATTCGTTGATTTCCACATTGTTTTAAAGTCGTCGTTGTTTTCCACATTGTTTAGAAATCTTGAATGACAGATTTAATTATTTATTTCCTACCTCTCCTCCGCAGTGACAAATTTTACAAGCATCAGTATCAGAGGAGAGGGAGGAGGGAGCAGTACCAAAGCTCCCGCTCCCTAAACTACTCTCATCAGGGTCCAGAAACAGGGGCGGAGGCTCCCGAGGGGGCTCTTGTATCCCCTCCGCCAACACATACGCCTTTTCTGGGGGCGGAAGCAGGGCAGCATTAGTATCACAGTTTAGATCACAGTTGAGTTCAGAAAATCCAATTGAACTGAGAGTTCCAGTCCTGTTCCATAGTTTCCTGTCTCTTATAGCGGACAGAATAGGTAATCGGCTACCTCCAGTCTCCTAGGATAGGTTACATACAGATACAGTTCCACTTACAAAGTACATAAACTTCAATATTGTAGTAAAAAAACACAGTACAATCTATAAATCGTACAAATGATAAAATTCAGTACAGTGATAACCAGAAAACAATGGAAAAGGAAGAAAACATTATATGAATACTTTAGTGTATTTGATGTTGTTACAGAGGAAATATTAGTTTAGCTTGACACTTATTACTAATTTAATGGGTCTATGTACACTGCCCAATTCGCCCAATTGCTGTGGTTCGTGCACATTTGACCTATTATTAAAGTCATAACTTGATTCTTAAATTCGTCTTCATATTTCTTTCTATTTTCTAGTTATCTCTGAATAAAAACGAAACATGAAAATAACTATATATAAGGGTGTTAAGCAAGCTAAAATGAACAGACTGAAATTAACATATGTAATATATATATATATATATATATATATATATATAGACTGAATAATGAATACGGAGATACTGAAAAAGAAAAGACCAATCCAAATCATGAAGTTTATAAAATGCATATTTAACAAACTTGTAATTAAGCAAAAGCACACAAAACAAAACTGGTCTGAACAAGAGCAGTTTGAACAAGATCAGTTTGAACAAGATCAGTTTGAACAAGATCACTTTGAACAAGATCAGTTTGAACAAGATCAGTTTGGACAAGATCAGTCAAGAACAAGAGGAATTTTAACAGACTGACTATACTGAGTAGTTTTAATAAAATCAGTCTAAGCATGAAATGACTGAACAAGAACATATTTAAAGCATTCACCTGAACTAGTTCCAAGGAGTCCAGTGTACCAGGTAGACGGGTTCTGTACCCGGTACATAAACTAAAAACAAATATTATTACACATTTTGTAAATTATTTCTTATTTTGAAAGGTTAAAAGTTATTCCTTAATTAAGAATGAAGCAAATATTGTAGCAATCCCCATATTTGTTAACCTAGAACTGAACCTTACGTTGTACATTGTCTGTAAATCTAAATGCGCTTATCCTTTACTATGCACAATTCTTGTAACGCGATTAACCTAACCTAGCTAGGTCTGTAAATACGTCAAACCTGCATTGTGATTATCTTTACACTACGCCTATATATATATCACAGCAAATCTTGTAAATACGTACATATTAACTTAACCTATAACATAGATATATAAATACACATCAGTTGGAAGATACTCCACTTAGATTACAGTAAGAGAAGTAATCGTTCCTCGTTTAGCAAACAAGTTGATGAGATCGTGTCAGTGTTTGACATTGATAGTTTGCAAGCTTAACATTGATAGTTTGCAAGCTTAATTCCGTGTTTGAAATTGATAGTTTGCAAGCTTAGGTCCGTGGTTGACATTGACAGTTTGCAAGCTTAAGTCTGTGGTTGACATTGATAGTTTGCAAGTTTAGGTTCGTGTTTGACATTGATAGTTTGCAAGCTTAATTCCGTGTTTGAAATTGATAGTTTGCAAGCTTAGGTCCGTGGTTGACATTGACAGTTTGCAAGCTTAGGTCCGTGTTTGACATTAATAGTTTGCAAGCTTAATTCCGTGTTTGACATTGATGGTCTGCAAGCTTAGGTCCGTGTTTGACATAGATAATTTGCAAGATTAGGTCCGTGTTTAACATTGATAGTTTATGAGATCGTGCCCGTGTTTGACATTGATAGTTTAAGAGATCGTGCCCGTGTTTGACATTGATATATTTTATGAGATCGTGCCTGTGTTTGACATTGATAACTCAAGAGATCGTGCCCGTGTTTGGCATTGCTAGTTTATGAGATCGTGCCCGTGTTTGGCATTGCTATAGTTCAAGAGTTGTTTAACTGATTAGACCAACGAGAGGGATTTAGTTTTACCTGGATTGATACAACGTGTCTGAGAAACTTTTAAAAAGTAAGCCATTTACTACATGAAGAGTTCCCATAGGGAATTCAGGAAAAATGTTGATCAATTCTTCTCCATAAAACCCGATTTTTCCCGCATTTTTCAGATCTGTTGGTTGGTTTCGATGGGATTTTAAGATGTGTATCTCATAAAATAAATTGTTTATCGTTCTAAATAACCCCTTTCAAAAACACCTCTCGGTTTAAAAATCAAATCATTTGCAAGCATTTTTTTGTATTCAGTATGTGGAAGTTAATTTAAAATCACCTTATTGGTTGATAAATGCCTCCTCCTCCTCCCCCTGCAACAAGGGAGGGGGAGGCAGAACTATTTCCCCAGACACCCAGGGGCGTGGCATCCAGCTGAGAGTTAGGAACGCCCCCAGATTCCAGATCCTCCAGAAAGCAACCAGAGTCCTGATAAAAAGCATATTATTTGATAATTGTATTATTTTACAATTATCATCATGAAATGTTAATATTCAGTATACAGGGTGTTCCACTAAATGTGAATATTTCTTGAAAAATTAAATGTCCCGGCACCCCGGACCACTACCTAAAATCACCTAAAATCACCCAAAATCACCCAATATCACCTAAAATCATCAAAAATCAACTAAAACCACCTAAAATCAATTAAAATCTACCGAAATCATATAATTTAACCTATAAAGTCAACTAAAGTCACATAATGTCACCTATCATCACTCGATCCTTATTATCAATATGTTCCGAATCAACTTAGTCCCATGTATTCTTTTAATTCTTTTCTTCGAGTTGTTAAATATACAATAATAAAATTAAACTACGTAGAATGTTCTAATACAAATGCTAAGGTCTCAACTGGGAAAAGCTAGAACTAAACCTTTCAAACAGACCTTTGGAAATAGATAGATGGATAAACAGATAGATTTTAGATAGATAAATAGATAGTTTTCAGATACTAGATAGATAAACAGATAGTTTTCAGATACTAGATAGATAAACAGATAGTGTTCAGATAGTTACCAGATAGACAAAGATAAGCAGTATCTTAGTGAAAGAGTGAAGAAAAAAATATATCTCTGTGAAAGAGGGTAGATAAATAGATATCTCTGTGAAAGAGGTTAGATAAACAGATATCTCTGTGAAAGAGTGTAGATAAAAATATATCTCTGTAAAAGAGGGTAGATAAACAGATATCTCTGTGAAAGTTGGTAGATAATTAGACATATCAGTGAAAAAGTGAAGATAAACAGATATCTCTGTGAAAGAGGGTAGATAATTAGATATCTTAGTGAAAGAGTGAAGATAAAAAGATATATCTGTGAAAGTGGGTAGATAAACAGATATCTCTGTGAAAGTGGGTAGATAATTAGATATCTCAGTGAAAGAGTGAAGTTAAAAAGGATAGATCTGTGAAAGTGGGTAGATAAACAGATATCTCTGTGAAAGAGGGTAGATAAACAGATATCTCTGTGAAAGAGGGTAGATAAACAGATAATTAGATAATTAGATATCTTAGTGAAAGAGTGAAGATAAAAGGATAGATCTGTGAAAGTGGGTAGATAAAAAGATGTATCTTGGAAAGTGGGTAGATAAACAGATATCTCTGTGAAAGTGGGTAGATAATTAGATATCTCAGTGAAAGAGTGAAGATAAAAAGGATAGATCTGTGAAAGTGGGTAGATAAACAGATATATCTGTGAAAGAGGGTAGATAAACAGATATCTCTGTGAAAGTGGGTAGAAATGAACAAAAACAAAATCCATTAAAATAATCATTTTTTTAAGCTGTTATCCAATCTGGTTTAAATGAATGTAATTTAATTACTTTAACTCGAAAGATAAAAATAATTTTCTAAAAGCTTTTAAATGCTCACTGCTACCTTTTATAAGTAATTGGTTGGTACAAATCCATAAAATCAAGTTGTATTTCTGTATTTCTGTGAAAAAAAACCTTTTAAATCTATTTGTTTATTAGAAATCTATATTATAGAGTAAATTTAGGATGTAATAAAACTTTTTCACTTACGAACGCTCTTAAATGCCGTGTTATACTTATAGCTTGGTGGGACAAGGACCAAACTGTTAAATCAGCGAGGTTTTATGTTCAAGGTTATCTACTCAAATCTACTAGATTTGATTTTACTTCTTTTAACATTGTTTTTTTTTTTAATAATCTGTGTTTCTGATAGAGAATACGCAATGTTTTCCCCTCTGTTAATGGCAACTCTAATTTATCTGTATAGAAGGTGCAACGACACAAAACAAAATGAAACTTTATAAAAAAAATAATATATTTATTTTCGTGATTTTATAAATTACCAAAAGCGCGGTTGTAATTATAAAAGAATTATTAAAGTCGATTTGTAGGTTAATTTCTAAATAGATGTAATGGGTAATATACACTGTTAACAATTTATTTCACATATTTACATGTTTTAATTTAAGCTGTGTTTCCATTTTCACATATTGAAAGAAAATACTTTCTCAGTGAAATAAAGTTATGTTGTGACGTCATTAAGTCCTGTAAAGTTCAGCTGCGGGAGAATCGGTTTGGAAATTATGCGTAATAAGTGCACCGAAATATCAACATATTCCGGTGTCCCGTATCATAGTCTCCTATATATCAATATATTCAGGTGTCCCGTATCATAGTTTCCAATATATCAATATATTCAGGTGTCCCGTATCATAGTGTCCGATATATCAATATATTCCGGTGTTGCGTATCATAGTGTCTGAAATATCAACATATTCCGGTGTCCCGTATCATAGTGTCCGAAATATCAACATATTCCGGTGTCCCGTATCATAGTGTCCGAAATATCAACATATTCCGGTGTCCCATATCATAGTCTCAGATATAATAATATATTTCGGTGTCCCGTATTACAGTGTCCGATATATCAACATATTCCAGTGTCACATAAAATAGTGTCCAATAAATCAATATATTCCAGTGTCACGTAATATAGTGTCCCATATATCAATTTATTCCAGTGTCACACAATATAGTGTCCCATATATCAATATAATCCAGAGTCACATAATTTAGTGTCCAAATATCGATTTATTCCTGTGTCAGGTAATAAGGTGTCCGATAGATCAAGGTATTCAAGAGTGCCGTAATAGAGTGTCCGATAGATCAACATATTCCTGTGTCAGGTAATAAGGTGTCCGATAGATCAAGATATTCAAGAGTGCCGTAATAGAATGTCCGATAGATCAACATATTCCAGAGTTAAGTGCAGCTGGGGGGTCAACTCTGTAGTGGATTATTATAACAGAGCTGGTAGAGCAGTTTATGCTTGTGCAATGGATCTGAGTAGGGCATTTGATCTTGTGTCATGGGAAGTGCTCTTCACAGAGTTATTGGAGAGGGGTGTTTCACCTCTAGCATTAAGGTGTTTAATGTTCATTTACTCAAATCAAAAATGTAATGTTAGATACTACACCATTTATATATGTATTTATATCTTTGTGTGTGAATAAATCTTTATAATATAATATAATATAGTGTCCAATAGATCAAGATATTCCAGAGTTATGTAATATAGTGTCCGATAGATCGAGATATTCCTCTTTTTTGTACAGTTGTCTCTGCAGTTTCATCCTTTTTGGGTAACTTTGTAGAGGAAAAATTTAAGAGATCTGACCGAATTCAGTTTTTAATTCAGCCTACACCCCCTTTCATATTTCGTGAACAATATCTTTTTGGGCTTTAAAAATGTAAATTTTGTGGTTAACCAGTATTTTCGATAATTCTATCGAATCCCCTACCCTTACAATGATATATTTGTTTTCTCTTCTATTTTATAATTTGATTTAAATTATACTATTCACATTTGGAGTGTTTGGTTTAATTTGTAATTTTTCAAAGATATGGTTAAACCACGGAATTATTGATTTGCCGTTGCATATTTTTTCACATCAAAACATTTGTTTTATTTAGAAGCGAGCATATATTTAAAGAGAATAGAATATATATATATTCTATTCTCTTTAAATATATTGCATATTCATGTATTGAGGATAAAGCAGTGTTACCGATTTCTCATAGATAGTTATAAAAGACAGATCAGAGCGCTGGCTCAGTTGATGGTCAAACTGTTTCATTCAATTTCGATATGTCAAACCGAACCCAACTTTAGGTTGTGTTCTAATTCATGTGTACAAGAGCAGTTGCAATTTCGTGTCGGGATATTACCTGGGAAGTGCTTAACCCTGCCAACCCCACCCTTGCTCCTACAGCATTAGGACCCGTTATGAAATTAGAAATGGTAGAGTTAGAAGAACAGCTGATATCACAACTTCATTTTATCGATCTGAAATCACAGCTTATTACGATTAAAGTTATTTTATCTAATATATTTTTAGGTAAACTGAAGTGTACTCTGAGAGCTGAACATGTATCACAATAATATAATTATACAAGTATCTAGTACTCTAATTTTCATAATATTTAGGACAGAGTATATCAAGGCAATTTTAGACTATACCATTTTTGGTCCTCTATTCCAGAAAGACAAAGACTATAACCTCGCTAATCCTGATCAAGACAGATATAGACTTTAACCTCGTTAATCCTGATCAAGACAGATATTGACTTTAACCTCGATAATCCTGATCATGACAGATATAAACTATAACCTCGTTAATCCTGATAAAGACAGATATAGACTATAACCTCGTTAATCCTGATCAAGACAGATATAGACTATAACTTCGTTAATCCTGACCAAGAAAGATATGGACTATAACCTCGTTGGTCCTAATAAAGACAGATTTAAACTATAACCTCGTTAATCCTGATCAAGACAGATATAGACTATAACCGTGTTAATCCTCATCAAGATAGATATAAACTATAACCTTGTTGGTCCTGGTCAATACAGATATAGACTATAACCTTGTTGATCCTGATCAAGAAAGATATAGACTATAACCTTGTTGGTCCTAATCAACGTAGATATAAACTATAACCTTGTTGGTCCTGGTCAATACAGATATAGACTATAACCTCGTTGGTCCTGATCAAGACAAATAAAAACTATAACCTCGTGGGTCCTAATAAAGACAGATATAGACTATAACCTTGTTAATCCTCATCATGATAGATATTAACCATAACCTTGTTGGTCCTGGTCAATACAGATATAGACTATAACCTCATTGGTCCTGATCAAGACAGATATAAACTATAACCTCGTTAATCTTAATTAAGACAGATAGAGACTATAAATTCGTTGATCCTGATCAAGACAGACAGACATAGAGTATATAACCTAGGTGGTTATAATCAAGATATATATATATAAACTATATAACCTCGTTGGTTATAATCAAGATATACAAAGAATATATAACCTTGTTGGCTTACACACTTGTTCACTACACAGAACACTATAATAGTTTACAATAAACTGAATTCTTCATGTTCTGTAATACATTTCATGCTATAAGCAATAGCTCGTGTTATCAAAGCCTAAAATGGGGGGGGAATGGGATAAGGGTTGGGTTAGGGTATTGTCTATACTGTATACTGTATATATTGTAAACTGTATAGCATGCATGTGAATGAAATATCTAGATACATGTATTTATTAGGTCTGCCCACATTACACAATATCAAAGTTAAACAGGGTGGAAGTTTACCAAACTATAGAAAGTGAAATCATGATTAAATTATTCAAACAACAGAAACCAGACGTAGGTAAATTGTTTGTAAGTTTTTACGAATTTAGTCTCAATCATTTAGTAGCAATTCCATAGTAACAATTAGTAACAATTAGTAACAATCCCATAGCAATAGCTGGGCATATACAGGATTACCCTTTTGAAATTCTGGTACTTAACGTAAAACAAATTACAACAAAGTGAAAATTGTATTGGAATATTATCAGTTAAATTTTCATTTCAAATCTGTTAAAATAATCCTAGAAAACCTCACATGCTTAAAAACTTCTAACACATAAATTCTATGAAAAAAGTATAACGTAACAAATATCTAAAATATTTTGTTTCTTTTTTTGGAAAAGTTCTTTATGAAAATATTATTTGTGTAAAATGTTCAAATATTTCTAGCTGAAGGTAACATAAAATTTTATTTTTATAATTTTTCAGAAAACGACGAAGAGAAAATTTTTAAATTCAAAGATAAGATTGATTAAAGGAATTTCATGGTTATAGTTAGATAACAGAATATTCTTTTGATAATTAATCTTTCATGATTATTGATTTTAGCTAATTTTAGATTTAACAAGGAGATGCAATGACATAATGAATTTAATAAATATTTAATGTGACAGTAATCAATAATATTAACTTTATATGGAAAATTTTTAAGTATTCTAAAGATTAAGCTGAAGCTGATTATGTGTATCTATTTTAAAACATGTAAATAATCCCTTCCAAGTCACGTCAAAGGCATAAGTTAGAAGCACATTATACTGACGTAAATAAGCTTAAATACCAAAAACTAATGACGTCACATAGCTTGAGTCCTGACGAAGACAGATAGAAAATAATGGAATAAATCTCACGCAACCATTGAACTTATAAAACTAAGTTCTTAATTACTTTAAACTCGGGATTAACTTCTATATCGCGGAAATACTTAGTGAATGCGCTGCAGGCTGCACTTATTTACAAAGTTCACTAATTGCACAGTTCCCTTATGTGACAGTACAGTAATTTCAGAGGGCCCTTATGTACACTGTGCACTATTTCACAGTGCATTTTTGTACAAAATACATTGATTTTACAAGACACTAATTTCCCTTTGGACTTATTTTACAGTGTATTTATGTACACAGTAAACAAATTGCACGAGCACAATACACTTAAGTGCACAGTGCACAAATGCATAAGTGCACTTATGAACACAGTGCACTTATGTACACAGTGCACTTATGTACACAGTGCACTTATGTTCACAGTGCACTTTTGTACATAGTGCACTTATGTACACAGTGCACATTTTGTCAACACTCATAATGTACAACGTCGATGAGAGAAATATTTCAGTTTGTTTTAAATCAAGAATTCGTGTCATGTTTGCAAGGTATACTCTAGGAAACACCACCAAAAAAAAAATCATCTATTTTATCGAATTATCAAATCTCAGCACTTGCGCGAGAAAGTGCTGGAAGCTTTTGAGAAAGAGAGATTGATTCTTTAAAGAAAAAAATTTGTAAAAACTCTGATCTGTTTCACTGATCCTTAAATACATGTGAAAAATTTATCAAACCCATGTGCGGTGTGGCAACAGTTCGCCCAATCACGTTTCACCCAATTCACGTTTCACCCAATACCACGTTTCACCCAAATTACATTTCACCCAACTCACGTTTCGCCAAAACTACACTTACTTAACAGTTTCACCCCTCCAAAACAAAAAAAATCTTGCCAATTTTATTTTGAATTTTTAAAAATTTTATCTTTGAATCAATAAAAGTTGTATACGTAAGGACACAGTTGATATTCTATTCTAGTACTGCTCAAGTTAGGCGTCCATTCGTAGTCCAAACATGAACTCCTTGATGAAGTTGGGATTGAAGGTTTGGAGTGCAGCCTTAAGATTTCCCATCCGGGCTGACCGACGGTCAGTTCTAAATCGGTTTGGGTCGGCATGTCTGACTGTAACCAGCTCTTAAAGCTTGGTCCTGGTCAAACTATCCTCCATTTTGATCATTTATGTAATTAGCTACATGTAACTGCCCCGCCATGTTGAGCTCAAATGTGGTTTGCAGATTTCGATCACAAAAGTTGTGGATTTACAACAATATGCCTTCTATATATTGGACTAGCTCGGGAACCCAGCTTTGTTTGTATATATGAGTCAAACCACTCAGATTAGAATTGTTTGACCAATCTAAGAAGATTCCCAAGATTCTCTTGATTTCCTCAATCAAAATTTGAGGAAAATTGGTCCAGGAGTTTATGAGTTATGATCGGAACTTGGACAATAAATTTAGTGCATTGTATGTTAGAGGAATAAAAAAATTGGGTGAAACTCTTAAGTAGGTGTAATGTGGGAGAAACATCAGTTGGGTAAATCGTAATTTGGTTGAAATTTAGTATTATTAGGTGAAACGTGAATTGGGTGAAACGTTATTGGGTGAAACGTTATTTCAACCTAAAATTGGGTGAAACGTTTTGGGTAAAATGTGATTGGGTGAAACGTGATTGGGCGAACTGTTACCACACCCCAACTCAATCAAGTTCTATAACCATGGATGTAAAAGAAACTGTGACATTTCACTCTAAAACTGATTATAGCAATTCCGAAACCCCGAGAGCTGTCAACCCTCCTTGAATGGTTTCTTCTCTTAAAGACAAACAAATTTTTTTTTAAGTTTAATGATTAATCCAAACTTAAATTCTCAAAATGCAAATTAAATTTTGTTTTAAAATTCAATTTTTCTCCAAAAATCTACGAATTAGGGACTATAATGGGAGGTGATTCTTAATGGCTACTATAAAGTGAGAAATATAATAATTAAGAAATTAATAAATTAAATCAAAAAAATAAAACTATATGCTTATCTCTATTTATATATTTTATGTATGGAAATTCTTGAAAACTGGATTTTCAAGATTTATATATAAGAGTTCTCATTGAATTTTAAGGAAAATTATTATTAAACCTTTAAATACATGAAATCCTTTAAAATAATCCCCCCCCCCCCCCTATACCAGCGCTGGTTTAGAGTAGACACCCATTACATATTTTTATGATCAAACACTTATATGGGTTAATACAGCAGAGACAAAAAATGAAATTGATAGAATAGATTCTTTTAACGATAGTAAAACGATGATATCCTTTTTATTTTTACTCAAATACTTGTGCAAAAGGCTCTGTTTTGAATCGAAGTGCTGCTAAAACCCCGTCAACAGTCTCTTTCATAGAGTAATAAAACGAAGAGGTGAAGCTTAGCTCAGATGTAAAAAACCGACCTCCTTATTAATTAATTAATGGGGAGGTCGGTTGTGTACATCTGAGCTAAGCTTAATCTCTTCGTTTTATTACTCTATGGTCTCTTTAATCAAGAATTCCGAAGTTTCTGTGTTGAGATCTAGACAAAAGTAAGATGAACCACCGAAATAACATTGAACTTCTTTTATTTGATATCAAACACTGAACCCAGCAGTTTGAACCCAGCAGTTTGAACCCAGCAGTTTGAACCCAGCAGTTTGAACCCAGCAGTTTGAACCCAGCAGTTTGAACCCAGCAGTTTGAAGGTCAAACCAAGATTTGAAGGTAAACTATAGTTTAGACAACTTACAAGTTAAAACAAAGTCTAGAACATTATAATTATGTTCAATTCTCTGTCTGTTATTATGTTCACTTGTCAGGGTGACTGTATGTTTGTATCATTTAAACGCCAAAACGCCTGAACCAATTGGGCCCAAATACGCCAATTCAAATAGAAAAGTCCTTGACAGTTCAAGAATGATTTAAAAAAGAGACTTTCAAGGCAATTTTTTAAAAGCTGAAATTGTTAAGAGCTGAAAGAGGGTGCGAAGCGTCACGCTTAGTATCACAATTTTACTCCGGGTGAGGAACTAATATATGTTAAATTCTAAATTGGGTAAAAGATTAAGTAATAATGATAAGAAGCGTTTAAAATATTCTTCAGTTTTACAAAAATTATTTTCCTTTATTTGGGAAATTTTTGGTGAGGGGGCAGGGCCTTAAGAGGGGTGGGGGGTTTAGTAAGGTTGCACTATAGTATATCTGTATATATGTATATATATATACTTTTCGACGGTTGTCATGATTATAATAGCACAGTGAAAATGAAACATCGATATGTCAAATTGTGAATATTCAATCGATAATCTTTGGAAACAGATTTCAACTCGCTCCTATTCAACAAAACCAAATCTGGATCGAAATTGGTTTCTTAATAATACGGTTTTAATATCTAAACAATAATGTTTGCAATTGCAAATATTGAAAAACATTGTAAACTAGAAAGAAGGGATGATATATAAACCCCGAATTTTTCACTTTGACTTCACTCCAAACATTGTCAGTATTCTGATTCGCGGGTTTTTTAAAGTTATGAAGAAAATACCTATATACTTACGTACAAATATGATTATTTTGTCCAATATAGTATTTAAAGCCAGAGGACCTTTCCAGAGGTCTAGTATTTCAGCTGA